TGGTGTAAGAAGCACATATTACTTTGTTAAGAAGTGAGGACATTTATTTTTGTCGTTAGTGTTGGAGTTTGTGTTTGTTGTTAGTGTTTGTCATTTGTGCTGAAGTTAGTACTTGATGTTAGTGTTGGAGTTTGTGTTTGTTGTTAGTGTTTGTCATTTGTGCTGAAGTTAGTACTTGATGTTAGTGTTGGAGTTTGTGTTTGTTGTTAGTGAGAGAATAAATTAAATCATAAACTTTGCCATGGTCTCTGTCCCTAGTAGTTTTCATTATCTCACAGAATTAATGAAAGTCATAAACTTTGCCATGATCTCTGTCCCTAGTAGTTTTCATTATCTCACAGAATAAATGAAAGTCATACTTTCTATCAGATGAAGCATGCAGATGAACATAACGAAAGTTAGTGAGTTTGCCACGAGTTATGAATAAAATATTGGCATATTAGATGAGATAGCTGATGAAACAGATGAAGATAAATTAAATCTTGGACTTTGCCACACTCTGTCCCTAGTTCCTCAAAATCCTTGACAACGTTGCTTAGAAATTTTGGTTCAAAACCTCATCTGATTTTAATCTGTTATGCTACCTGTTAAGTTTCGCGAGATTATAAATGTCATGGAGTTATATAAAAAGGAGGGACAGCTAGGGACACTGGAAGTACTTATAAGGCTATCTGTTAAGATTGCATGAAATACTAAAAAGTCATGAAATCCATTATCGCTGTGCTAGCTTCACCTTAGAGTAAAATGACGACTAAAGTCACTGAAGCAATGAAACAAAAGTTTTTGGTAGAATACATTAAATCAGGAACTATTCCAGAAGGTTTTTACATTCATACTATGAAGGATGGTAGAGTTCAGTTTAGAAAGATAAAGCAACCATTAGATAGAGAAGGTATATTAAGGAAGATTAAACTTCATGAGGACAACATTGCTGAACTTAAGAAGAAGTTAGAAGAGTTGGAGAAAGGAAGAGAGTTATAAAGCAATGAATTCAACAGACCCAAAGGGTCAGAGCCGCTTTGCGGCTAGGTTAGAAAAGAGGTTAGATATCGGGTTAGATCTAACCTTCTACCCTAAATTTATTTTTGTGCTATGTTTTCATACGTGTGCGGGTGGTGATATCATTAATTTTTTATTTTATTTTTAAGTTTACTGAAATTTTTTATTTGGATGTAAATGACAGAACAAAAGCAACTCATTCGAATTCCACAGTATAACAAACATACATTTAAACATTTATTCTTCCTTCCTGAGCATAACATGTTCTTTCAAATACATCCGAGACCAGTTGACTTTTCATTGACTGTGTATAAAGATAGAAATAGTTATATCATTAAACCATACGATGACGAAGGTAAGTTATGTAAATTGTACGTTAAGAAGTTAGAGAAAGTTTATGGCTTCAAGTATGACTACAATAGGGTTAACACTGATGATGAAGATATTGAGGAAAATTTATGAGAACATTAGTGAAGTCGTTAGTGAGAACGATAGTGAGAACGTTTATTTTTTACATTAGTGAGTTCGTTAGTGAAGTGGTTGGCGGCTTTGTAAATATTTAAGGTTAAATTAGTTTTTGCGTTCATGTTGTAAAATATACGTTAACAGTTTTGTAAAGTGTCAAATTCACAAGTATTGGGTAAGGTAGAACGCAATGCCACCATACCCAAGACTTGTATACTAACTAACAAAATTTCTCTCTTTATCCTTTTGCACTCTTTATATGCAACTCAAATCCATCATATAATATTCCTATAATACTCTTGCCTCAAACAATGACGAACAAACTGCTATTCTCATTTAATTACAGACCAAATCTATTCAAATTTCTGAATTTTTAATTTTCATTTCAATTTCAAATGGAATTAGAAGAAGAAACTATCTTTACTGTTATGGATCTTTGTAAATTTGGAGTTAAACAAGAAATACAAGCACAGTATGGATATGGTGAACGTGTCAGGAAAGAAAGATCTCAGATTTCATTCCACTGCAAATATCCAAAATGTCCTGCACATTTTAATGTTGCAATCTTGGATCAAAATAAATACAAACTAATCAAAATAGTTGAAGAACATGATCATTCCGCCCCAAATGACAAAAGTCAATATTCGTCTGTCTTTTATCGCAAATATTTAGAACATTACTTCCAAACAGATGACAATCAAAGAGCGATAGCACAGCTAAATGCATTCAAAGATCTTGAAATTCCTCTTGTAATAAACAGAAATTCATCAAAAGTGACAGCTCTCAATTTTTTGACATTTGTAAATTCTAAATTGAATGAGAAAAATGAAATAATACTAAGCATAATACAATATTCTAGATTTAATTATAATTAGGAAAAAGTTAGTTTTGAGAGTACTTTTCATAGGCATATAGAATGAAATCTTCTGAAAAATAATATCACATAAACTCATATTATTTTCTAATATATAACTATTTTATATAAAAATCAAATTCAATGATCTTAAAAGCGAAGGATAAACCTCAAAATTTACGAATATAATGAGTGGGAATAGGCGTAAAGCAAAAATTGATATTTCATATGGTTTTATGATAGATAAGCATTATATATTCCCACTCATTATATTCGTAAATTTTGAGGTTTATCCTTCGCTTTTAAGATCATTGAATTTGATTTTTATATAAAATAGTTATATATTAGAAAATAATATGAGTTTATGTGATATTATTTTTCAGAAGATTTTGTGTTCTTCTTCAAAATTTTATTTTTTTATTAAAAAGAATCTTTACAAAATATACATTTACTTTAATTAATATTTAAAAACGTGCTCTATCAAAAGTTCCAAAAATTCAATAGTTTAGCTTTTCTGAGGTGTCACTTTTGATGAATTTCTGTTTACAACACTCTTACAGGTCCGTCCATTCCAGAGATGTACGCTCAAAAACCACGTGCAATCAAACGATTTGCAGAGAGAGTACATGCTCTTCAAACTAGATATTCTCCTAACGATGTTGTGTCATTGCAAATCTTTGTTCAGACAGTACAAGAAGAATCTCCAGATGATCTCATTGCATTTGAAGTCTCAGACAATAATATGTGTTTCTATTACGCGCCTTTTGAAGGCAAAGCTTATGCGCATAGTATCAAGACATTTCATATAGACAGCACCTATAAATTGTTGCGATCAAACATTCCATTGTATGCATTTACTGGCAAAATCAAAGATTTTCACATTTTCCCTTTTTTATATTTCTTTTGTCAACCAGACACTTATCAAAACATTCAAGTTTGCGTGTGCGCCTATCTCAGATGGGTAACAATTGAGCCAGAATACATTAGCATGGACTGTGCTCCACAGATAGCTCAAGCAATAGAAGAAAGCATTCCACAAGCTCAAATACTTTGGTGCGGAGTACATGTTCTTCGTGCAATTCTTCGCAAATCAAATAAGTTTTCTTCTCAAGAAAAATTTGAACAATTCTATAATTTGATGAAGGATTTAGTCTTCAAATTAGATGCAGAACATGAGGAAGAAGCAAATGCTGCCTATGATCAAGTTCTGGAGTTGCTCGACACAGATCCAACAGCATCTCAATACTTTAACAGACAATGGCGTTACAACATATCAAGATGGATTGCTCGTGACAGGCGTGAAGGCGACGCAACTAACAATATTGCCGAAGCTCATTTTAGAACACTCAAACATGACTATTTTCCTGATCGAAAAAATCTCAGAATTGATGATGTTATTATAGAAATTTATACAAAAGTGATACCATCTTTCGTTATCAAACTCAAAATTGATCAAAATCCAGCAGATGACCGTGTCATTAGGATCATGGAAAAAGCAACTAACGCAGAAATTGATGTAAAAAGACAAAGAAAAATCGAGAGTATTTCAATGCTCAATAGATTGCTCAATGCTGTTAGTGATGACTCAATAGATCCCACTAAAATATATCCTACCTTGAAAGTATTATTACAAAGAACTCATTTTATTTAATTTTGATTTTAATTTTAGATTAAATTATTAAATTTTAATTCTTTATTTTTTAGGATTGTTAGCTTTGTAAGATTGCTTTCTAACAAGAGAAAACAAGTATAAGGTTTAAGCTGTATGTATTAAAGTTATAAATATTTGATTTTAAAAAAAATCAAGATTTTAAACTTTAAAGGTATTAATTATGATTATCTTTCTTTAGCTTTGCATGCTGTATGCTACTTTTGGAAACTGCTCTATTGTATTAGAATGTTTTTAAATTTTGCACCTAAAAATGCGTAATATTAAAAATTAAGGTATTAATTATGATTATCTTTCTTTAGCTTTGCATGCTGTATGCTACTTTTGGAAACTGCTTTATTGTATTAGAATGTTTTTAAATTTTGCACCTAAAAATGCGTAATATTAAAAATTAAGGTATTAATTATGATTATCTTTCTTTAGCTTTACATGCTGTATGCTACTTTTGTCTTTGAGACATTCCATGATTTAAGTTAAGAAGCTAAATTCTGAAGTTTACATGATCCTCTCGTGTGCACCCTTAAAAAATGCAAAAAATTGAATAGTTTACTGCCTGGGCAAATTTGTCGCCGCCCCGTGAAAATTCGGAAGTAAAAAAACTAGTAAAATGCTCATATAACATCATTTTGATTAAGGGAATTGTTTTGATTTGTTTCCCTGCTTTTAAGGCAAGTTTATTTTTTTTTCAAGAACCTTTCCCAGATTTTGGGTTTATCAACCAGTAACGGCCACATTAATAAAATGCAAATATATTTTGATTTTTTAGTGTTATTTCCGAAATCTTTGTGTACATTGTTTTCAACATGCTTAACATGAATTTTTTTTCTTATAATGGATTAAAAAGATAATTGATAAGGTAAAAAACTGATTTCTGGCAAATATTAGTTAATGTTATTTCCGAAATCTTTGTGTACATTGTTTTCAACATGTTTAGCATGGAATTATTTTCTTATAATGGATTAAAAAGATATTTAATGAGGTAAAATGCCGATTTCGGACTTTTAAAATTTTTAAATGTCCAATCAAGACATTCGTCCCGACAAATACAATGAGCTGAGAAGTGTCAACAAAAATTACATTGATTCATATGCTGCATTGTATCAGTTAAAAACGGAAAATGAAGAAGATTTAAGCTCAATTTACAAAATGATCAAAACAGAACTGATTGATTCAAAGAAATGTCGCCCAGCATATCTTGTAAAAGATATTTTAGACATCATTCCTTATAATAACCGCTACACAAAGTCATACTTGAAACTTGCAAAATTCATTATTGATGATTTTCATGTAACGACGGTACTTGATATTCCGACGCTTTCTGTGTACCTATTTGATGAAGAGTACGGAATTAAATTGGGCAAAACAGAAGAAACAAAACAATTACTCAAACCCTTTTTAGAAAATCCAATCTTCAGAGCAATTATGAATAACAACATAGAAGCATTCATTGCAATCACTGAAAGAGAAGGATTTGATAAAGATCAAGAACTTCATAGCTACTTATATCCACCTAATACCAGAGGATATTCATTACTTGAATTATGTTGTTACCACGGAGCAGTTGATTGTTTCAAGTTTTTAAGAACAAAATTTAACTCAAGGGTAACTGATACATGTCTGGAATTATCATTTTTAGGTGGAAATCCAGAGATCATGAGTGAATGTTTGAAGCATACGGAACCATATTTTAATTGCATGAAATATGCAATTATTTCACACAACATTGATTTTGTTACATTTTTGGTGAATGAATACAATATAGAGATCGATTTATATGATTGCATAAATCATAAAAATCTTGAATCCTTTTTAGTTTATTTCGATCAAACTAATGATATTAAGAATTGCTTTAATTTTTTAATCACATTTGGTATTCCATCCCTATGCGAATACTTCCTTTCACTTGGTGCAAACATCAATGAAAAAGATAATTATGGAGAACCCGCACTTCATAAAGCAGCATTTAATAATAATAAAGACATCGCCGAACTTTTTATTTCAAATGGTGCAAACATCAATGAAAAAGATAAAAATAACGAAACCGCTCTTCATCAAGCAGCAGAATATAATAGTAAAGAAACAGCCGAACTTCTTATTTCGCATGGTGCAAATGTCAATGAAAAAGATTATTACGGAAGAACAGCTCTTCATATAGCCGCGTGGTTTAATAATAAAGAAATAACTGAGCTTCTTATTTCACATGGTGCAAATATTAATGAAAAAGATAATTTTGGAGGGCCCGCTCTTCATGAAGCAGCAAATAATAATAGTAAAGAAATCGCCGAACTTCTTATTTCACTTGGTGCAAATGTCAATGAAAAAGATGATCATGGAAATACTGCTCTTCATAATGCGGTACAACATAATAGTAAAGAAACAGCCGAACTTCTTATTTCACATGGCGCAAATATTAATGAAAAAGATAATGATGGAAAAACCGCTCTTCATGAAGCGACACAATTTAATTATAGAGAAATAACTGAGCTTCTTATTTCACATGGTGCAAATATTAATGAAAAAAATAAATATGGAGAAACCGCTCTTCACTATACAGCATATTCTAATTATAAAGAAATAGCCAAACTTCTTATTTCACATGGCGCAAATATTAATGAAAAAAATAATAATGGAGAAACTGCTCTTCATAAAGCATGAGGATGTAGTAAAGAAACAGCCGAACTTTTTATTTCATATGGTGCAAATATTAATGAAAAAGATAATAATGGAGAAACCGCTCTTCATAGAGCAGCAGCATTGAATCATAAAGAAACAGCCGAACTTCTTATTTCACATGGTGCAAATATTAATGAAAAAATAATAATGGAGAAACTGCTCTTCATAAAGCAGGAGGAGGAAGTAGTAAAGAAACAGTCGAACTTCTTATTTCACATGGTGCAAATATTAATGAAAAAAATAATAATGGGAAAACAGCTCTTCATAAAGCAGCATGGAACAATAATAAAGAAATGGCCGAACTTCTTGTTTCACATGGTATAAATATCAATGAAAAAGATAAAGATGGAAAAACAACTCTTGACATTAACCAAGAATATTACCGCAGTGACCTAGCCGATTTTCTTGTTTCACATGGTGCTACGATTTCACAAAGTGACATGTAAAACTGCACGATTTTTGAAAAGAAAAAAAACTAGCAATTGCTACTACACTCATTTTATACACAATTCAATTTTTTCCCACTATTCAAATTTTTTTTCCACATTTCAATTTTTTTGACGGATTATCAGTGGCTTCCAAAAAAATCCCAAAAACGATTATTGTGAATTGAATTTGGGAATTTTTTGGGATACCCTTATTTAGGGGATGATAACGATTATTTCAGCATATAAAGCATGCATTTGATATATTTTGATAATAAAACCTATTTATACATTTTTGGAATCCATATTTTTGAAATCTAGCAGGAAAAAGGGGTTTTGATGAGAAATTAGGTAATTTCAATGATTATTAAGTATGTTGGAATATAAATATGAAAAATTATTTTCTCATAGGGTTGTAAAAAATATAACGTATATTTTCATATGCGTTCTCTAGTATTTTTCTTGTTCTCTGGCTAACAAAGAGCCAGAGAATCACAGCAACATTAAATTATGCTGTAGTTTTCTGGATTTCCTTTCTCATTTGAAAGGCGTCCAGAGAACTTCAGCATAAACGAATTGCAGACAAGTTCTCTCGCTCCCTTTGCATCAAGAAGCATAAATACATTACCTTAGGGCAGAGTTCTTCCGAAGTCTCTCATCAAATGAGAGATTTCGGAAGAACTCTGTTCTATTCGAATAAATTTACATTCTCTGGTCTGAAAAGCTATACCAATCACAAGTATATTACTTTAGGGTAGAGTTCTTCCGAAATCTCCCATTCGATGAGAGATTTCGGAAAGACTCTGCCCTCTTCGATCAATTACAGCTTCCTCAGCCACTTACTGACCAAAGAACAATGACTAGAGTACTTTAAGGCGAAGTTCTTCAGAAGTCTCTCATTGAATGAGAGACTTCTGAAGAACTTCGCCTTATTCGACTAAATTTACATTCACTGGCTCATGCTTGGCCAGTGAATATATGCATATTGCATTATAGCAGAGTTCTTTCGAGACCTCTCATTCAATGAGAGATCTCGAAAGGACTCTGTTATATTTATGTAAAAACGTAATTTACGACCTTAAACAGGCTAGAGAGAAGTAAAACAGTGCGCGTAAATTTTAAAGTAAAAATAATATCAAGAGAAGCGCAATGCTTATGCAGTCTACATGCTATGTCATAGTATCTAGACTGTATAAGCATTGCGCTTCTGATCTGCAGACCACTCATGAAAGATTAAATTGAGATTTGATGCAGAAATCATTTGCTGATAAGGATAATGCAGCATCAAATCTTAGCAGGATCATGCTATGCACAGTATCCTTATCAGCAAGTGAATAGCTGATGATGGCCATCCATGAGAAATGACACTTTTGAGTTTTGAGAGATATTTTTTTTAAATAATATTTTGTTAATATTAAAATATTGCATTTAATTTAATTCAGTTCATGTTTCAGAGTTTTATTTTTTCTCCACTCAATTTTAAAATCAATTTTTGACACCCCCTTCTCAATTCAAATTTACGTCAAAATCACAAAAATTATTATTTCATATCGAATTTTATTATTTTAAACATTTTTATTCATATATCAAAATTGAAAAGATATTCAATTTTATTTTGTTTTCAGATTCATTTTTTTCAGCAGTTTAAATGAGGATTTCCACGTCAAATCCTTAATATAAGCTATGCATATATTATCGACATCTATATATTATAATATCAATTTCAAATATCCTTATTTCTACATCAAATTTTTAATGTTCGAAAGAAATTGCTTATTATCATATCACTATCTTATCTATGCATGATATAAAACTTTGTAAATATATAATTCATCAAATTCTATATATTTTTCTAAAATGAGATTTCAATTTGTTTTAATTCTCTTCTTTAAGTAAATTTACACATTCAATCATAATTACCACACAAATAATACTTAAATATTAGTTCAACCACCATATAACACCCATACATATTGAATTTCGAATTCGATCATTTCACGAATTATTCTGTTTTATAAATATATGTCATTTATCATATTGCTCATTTAGCATATATTTCATACAAAAACTCTTACATGCTCATTTCAATATTTTCTGCATATTAATTTCAAATTCATACCAAAAGTAAAAATTATGAGCTACAGTTTATAGAACAACTATTTCTATTTATGTATATTATTACACTACTATTTATTCTGTTCTAATTTATTTATATATCGAGTTATTGCAATGCTTCATTTTTAAAATAATCGGGTATCACCCCCTTTCTTAGGGCCCAAAAATTACCCAAATTCAATTCACAGTAATCGTTTTTGGGATTTTTTTGGAACCCACTTTTTACCCTTTTTGACAATTTGAAAAAATAATTAAGGCAATAATTCGAAGTGTTATTGGAAAAAAATAATTAAGGCAATATAAGATACCGTATCTTTGAAGTGCTATGTTATAGTTTGAAACGATATTTTCATATTTTCAGTTATTAATTAAGATGGAGCTGAAACAAATCAATATTTTTCATTTCTTAAATGCATAATGCTATTTTTTAAAAAATCAATAGCCTATTTTCGATAATAATATTTTTGAAATTTTTATTTTATCGATAAAATATCAAAATTGGGAAATACAATAGCATCAAATTTTCAAATTTAAGGTCTCAGTAAGCTCCAGTTTTAAGGAAACGGATACTTTAAAATTTAAGAAATAAAAACATATATATTATATATCGGAAAAAAATAAATAGAGTTAGCGAAATAAGTTGTAAACAACGAAAAAAGTTGTAAACAGCTTTATTAAAATAAGAAAGACACACACATTAATGAGAGAATATGAAATATATCCAGTAAAGAATTAGCTGATTAAGTTTCCCGAAAAAAGGAGCAGCATATCAAATTTGCAAAATTATTAAATCAAATACATTCATTACCTTGTTATATGTAGAAGCATTATGTAAATTCTCATAAAAAAAAATAAAATAAAATAAATATAAGGTCGCCAAAAAAAGTGCGGAAATTAAAAACCGCAGTTTGAGTACTTTCTGAGAGTCTGTTTGTCAGAAAGTATACATTTGTAAACTTTCTGACACTAAAATTTTTTTAGTCCTTTCAAAGTTTTTGACAGTGTCAAAAAGTATACATCGGGGCTCTCAATTTTCCTCTCAAACGGTGGTTTTTAAAAAACGCTCATTTTTTCATCGACCTTATATATATATAAAGCTTCAATTGAAAAAAGAATGATGTATATTGATCATGTATTAAAATATCTTAATAAAAATGCAGTAATATACAATGATGAGCAAAGCAGATTTGAATCAGAAAGAAGATTTGCTCAAAAAATCAGTTGAGTCTTCTCTAGTTTTCATGTTGCCCATTCCTGTTTAAACGCGGTTATAACCAAATTGATTTATCATTCTTAGAATTAAGTATGATTAGGGCTGATTTATTGGAATAAGGAAGTTTATAATACGTGAACACTTGTTTCCTCATCTAAAAGTCATAACGCATAAAGTCGATGTTTCCTTAGTACAAAAAGTGACATTTGACGCATAACTCTTTATTCCAGATAATGACCATATTTATGGAATTAAAAAGTTTAGGAAGCTTCTCCCCAATTTCTAAGAGTGAGAAAAAAAAACTTTACAAATTTTAATGAGTCAGGGAATTGTTCTGAACTACGAATATATTGGCTCACATATCAAAGATTATATTGAAGCGGATAATCTCTTTAGCACATTCGAAGTAGAAGATATCAAATCAATCATGAAATTCCCGAATTTAACACCTGATGACTTCAATTCTCTTCTTGTGCAATCTTGTTCTGTCATTTCAGCGTGCGAATTGTATACATGCACTCGAAATGCAAATATTTCAATAAACAACATACAAGATGCCATTTCAACACTTAAATAAGTTCAAAAGTACATGAAGATGCGAATCTTCGAAGGAATTATTGGCATTTTAGAACAATTACAAAAGGATCAATCCATTACAACAACAACAACAACAAAAAACGAAAAACTTCAAGCAGATTTAAATCAGATCCAAAAAGAAAAAGAAAACGTTGAGAAAGAGATGCAAACTCTTCACTCTCAACTCAAAGAGAAAGAAGGAAACGATTTACCAAAAGAATTTCTTTCGAAAATTTCCGAACTTAAAAATTCTGAAGATTTCGATCAAATCTACAAATTCTTTGAAGAAATTTCAGAAAAAGGAAATCAAAAAATGATGCAAAAAGCATGTGACGAAGAACTTTGGAAAAAACAAGATGATGATTATGGTAGAAATGTACTTCATGAAGCATCTTCAAAAGGAAATCTGAGACTTCTTAAATCTCTCATTGAATGTGGCTGTGACAAAGAAATCAAGAGCAGAGGTGGTGATATAGCTCTATACTGGGCATCAAGAGAAAGTCAACTTGAAGTTGTTCAATATCTTATCTCAGTTGGAGCTAATAAAGAAACAAAGAATAATTATGGATGGACTCCACTCATTTGTGCATCATTTAATGATAAACTTGAAGTTGTTCAATATCTTATCTCAGTTGGAGCTAATAAAGAAGTAAAGAATAATTCTGGAAAAACAGCACTTGATAAATCGAAAGGAGCAGTAAGAGAATATTTATTATCAATTGCAAAAAAATAATTTCTTGATATATTTGGTTATTATCTCTCAATCATTATTTTTTTTGGCGACCTTATATTGTTTTCAGGAACATGTTCTTTGATGTTTGGCAAAACTTCACCTTTGAAGTTCTCATCAGTAATTGCGTCGATCATGTCTCATAATTAATAATCATCTTGCTGATTCTAAAACAGTAAATAATCTCACTTTTTCATTCTATTTCTAATTTATCAATTTAAATATATTTGTGTCCATAGAAAGATACAAATATTATCTCACATTCTTCACTTTCCTATCAATTATGAATGAAATGTTTTGAATCAGCTTAATTGATCAACATACATCTATAACAAATGTATTTTAATTACAACATTAGTATTTGAAAGATATATTTTATGTACATAAGGCTTTATGTTCAATATTGTGAAAAATATAAAAATCAATTTAAGGTAGACATCGAAAATAATCTGAATAATCTAACTCATTATATTTCCTCATATAAGTACTTCTACACTTAATATGAGCAGGTTTTGCAATTTGTACTTAGTATGAGAACTCTTTAAATAGCTGAATTTAGATAAATCATATCAGAAAAATTAATTTGTGTAAGATTTATTATTTAATTGCAATTAAATTAATGAATATATTTTCAATTTTATATAGCAGAAAATTATTTTCATAGATATGAATATAATTACTATGTAAAGGACAATCAATTCCTTCATACAATGATGACGATCCTGGGTTTTGACCATATTGTGGATTGGTTTTTTATATTTTAACAATGGTTACCCAAAATGATTGTTGAAATGCTAACATCTTTGAAGTAATACTAATATATCAAGCTAATTAATCATCAAATACAAGAGTTGCTGTATAAGAATGATGTTTTTATTGCGATTCTACTCAATTTTACTTTCCGATACAAAATGTAACGTTGACGATAAAACTAGCGTTTGTTTTTTAACTAAGCTTATATTTATTTTATTACAAGGTTACTTTTTTCATAATAATAGTTGATTTCAATATCAAATTTTATTAAAATTTTACAAAAAAATTGAATTCAAAATTAAATGGGACCGGGTATTTCGCAAGTATCTAACTCTTTTGTCGCAAGAGATGATGTTTTAGCTAAATACTCGAGCAATATTTTTGAATCATCTCCCGATGAAATCGCTTTTTCAAGGAAATTCTCGACAGACCTATTTAATCAGCCGAAAGAAGACATAGAAAAACCTCCAAATATACCAGAAGATAATCTGATAGTAGATATAATTTCGGATCCATTTGTGTTTACCCAAGTTGGCACGCCTATGGAAGCTTGGCATTCAGTTCTTGCGCAATTATTCATTGGAAATGAAACAACAAAGCCACAATTACATCAAGTATTAACAGAATTCTTCATGTTCCTTAATGCAAGACCAGAAAACATACTTAACGCTGAAGATCAAGCACTTCAAAGCTTGGAAACGATAAAATCAATCGAAAATCAAAAAATCGTAGAAGCACTTTCTAAATTTGACCAATTACCATCGATTGATATCGAAAAATTGCTTCCTCACCTCAATGATCCAAAAGAATTCATCATAAATCTGCAGAAAATATCAAAGAATCCATTTACTTATCATTCGAATTACCTTGAGATGTCGAATGTCATCGAACCAGTTGGTACAGATTCCGATTACTCGTATCTTCAGCTATTATGGGGACTTCATTCCGGCGACCTCGTCAGTTTACTTAATGGACTTGTCAGCACGATCAAATCAGCCATAAAGAAGGTCGAACCCAACTACAAAATCGATTTATCCGATATAGATGCAAAGTTGCCAATGTTATCTATGGAAAATGCACTGTCACTTCCATTCGCTTCCACTGTAATCGGATCAACTGAAATACCAGGAACCCAGAAATACGAGATGAAAGTCAATCAAATCACTTGTACTGACGGAAGAAATTTATATATCCTCGAAAACTGTCAGAGACTAACAATGGTTAAACTTACGGGTGGATTTACTGATAATCAATCTCGATTCTTGAGTTTTAAGATAAATTTACCGATAAAAGACCTTACAACCGTTTCTCTCATATATAACAACAATTATCTATTCGTTATTTCACCAGAATTACCAGACGCTAAGATTTACCAGGTCTCTCCGTTCAAAGAAATGACAGATATCTTATTATACGAAGCATCTGGTTTCTTTAGGAGTCCACACAAGATAACATCACCAGCAGTAAGCGATGGCGAGTATATTTACTGTTTCAACTCTAAGAAAATTTCGATTTTTACGATTGGAAATAAATTTAATGTGAATTTCATTAGAGAAATCGAATTATTCCAATCCGAAACACACTTACTACCACCATTCAACAAGAAATTACTGTCAAACAAGTGGATGTACGAAACAGTTCAGTACGTAAACGGAAATTGCTTTACTTTCCTCATTTTCTCGAAAAGGACCGATACAAAGATCGAATATTTCTCAAGAAGCTTCTCATTGATCGACGGAAGACACATTGGAGACTCAATTTTTACAATTAAATTCCCAATATTAGATATTGTCTCAGATCCATGGAACTCCTGCTTATGGGCAGTATCATACACATCATCAGGACTTAGTCTTATCAAACTCCATATGCATGGTTCTCAACCTCCGTGGCTTACTGGAGTTCCAATAGGAATTTTACCGGCTTTGGACGATGTACAAGTTGCTTTCGGATCAGTTCACAATTTGGCCACAGCTGCTAACGCTGTTTCTATGTTTTTGCAGTATTTTCCACCTCATTTTGTCGGATGCAACATACGAGCGGCCATGTCGACCATGAACTTCTCCGTTGATATCTCTAACTTCTTCTGTCCATGTACACAACGTGCAGTTTCCGCTATTTTGACCACATTAAAATTCTTGAAAATCTTGTACAGAAAAGCACCTGATTCGACACCAATTTCTAACGTAGACTGCCAGAAGTTGATTATCTCAATGCTCTGCTTGCTCCAAATCAACTTATCCAACATTCATCAAAATATACCAAAAGATATCTTGGATGCAGAGACCAAATCTTTGCTTAATGAGATATTAATTGACACATTCGATCGCGAGGAATACAATTTCGCCTTCAAAGTCGCATCTTATGTCATAATTACTTGTTTCCCATTACTTTTCAGGGATTCAAATGCCAGATGTGCATCAGTATTCAAGCGCATTGTTTACAAGACAAGTTTCAACTTTGTTTATCAAATGTTGAGAAATCTTCAAAATGATCACTTTTTCTCTTATTGTTTTACACATTCTACATGTTTGGATACATTCACACCATTGTTAGACACATATGCATCATCTCCAAACAAACTTTCTCAAGTTAATTACGAAATTATAACTTATTTCCAGAGAAACTTGTTAATTGAGACGAGAAGAATGTACAACTTCAATGCAGGAGAGCTAAACATCATTGACGAACAAAGACAAGAGACATTTTTGACATATTCCAGAATTATTTGTGAAAAATTTGCAAATTTCATTGTAAATTTCACAGATAACTATTCTGAGTCAAAATTACGAGAAAGTTCATTTGTCAAGAACTTCAGGAAGTTCCTTCTTTTGCTCCAACCTCTTTCCAAATTCTCAAGAGTTGCAAAAGAAACAATTAACATTTTAAGACAAGTTTTCTTCTCAATTTTGAATCTCATTGATAAGAATAAACTGACAAATGTCTTCAGCACAGACAAGAGAGGCTTCCAATTGATATTCTCTATATTTTTCGAAGTTTTCTCTGTGATAATTGAATTTTTGATGTCACTTTTGGGAGGTGGCAACGAACTTGAGAATTCCACACAGTATTTGTGGCTTGTTCGATCTACAATTGAAGCCAGTATCAATGAAGACAACTTCAAGAGTCTTTACGAGAAAGTTTTCAACGAGAAAACGAAAATTGAAGACAAAAAGAAGTTGATTTCATTAGGTATCGAACAAAACCAAGAATACATTGATTTTCTTGTTAGAGTTTTAGAGAAAGACCAACTTGAAGACTTAGTCATCATGTTGGATCATTTCTATTCGAAACAAAACAAATTGTTTGCCAAAAAGACGAAATCAAAGACAATGCGTCTTAATGATTTATTAACAATCTTTGCATTGGCGAAACAATTTAAAGTTGTTCCTGAATTGATGCAGATCTACAAGAACATCAAAGAAAAGAACCAAATGATTACACAAGTCTCTTACAAAATGCGTGGAATAATGACAGCTGTTAATGATGTCAGAAACACTCAAATTCACGCGAAACAAAAACTGAAAATGGCAACGAATAAATCTCAAGGAGAAGATTCATCACAACACAAAGGAAAATACCATGGATTCATTGACCAATTGACACAGAAATTGGTGTTCCTTTTATTGATCAAACCATGTTATAATTCGAAAGATCAGAGTTCAACGAATTTCCAGAAACAATTGAAAGTTTTGTTGAAATTCATCACCGATTCAATTCAAATTGACAATGCTCTGCAAATGATTAAGACAGCGGAAATGGTCAAAGCGAATATAACAATGGGTATTGAACAGATCTTGGAATTCCTCTCTAAAAACACCAACAAAACATTGATTTATTTCATGGTTGACAAAATTGTTCATTCTGACAATTTCGTAAAATATTTGTCAGCAATAAGACAAATGGAAAAAGAGACAAACTGGAAACCTGATTCCCCAATCATCAATAAACTGATGGCTTATCTTTCCAAGTTGATTTCCAATTCAAATGAGCCGTCAATGCTCAATTTGATGTTGATTTTCTATTCAAACATGTGTCTTTCTTTAGGAAAAGTTGACATCAACTCAATTTTCGAGCCAATTTCAACAATTTTGAAGATTATCTACTCAAATCCATTTAAACTCGAACCGGCTTTGATACAATCATACACAGCATTGTCTGCTAGTGCTTTGTACGCAAGTATCATGGAATCTAAAGAACAGTTTAGTGTCGAACAAAGCCAATCAATCGCAAAACAAATTTTCCCTGATGGAAAAATTGACATGTCACGTTTAATCGTTGCCAGATTATTCCTATCGTCGGGAATTAAATTGAATTTCAATGTCAACACATTGATTCATTTCATTAAGACGATATCACCTTTGGAATATCAATCAGCATTCGCTTTCTTCTATGATTTCATCAAAACAGACCAAGATAAAATGTCTGCGATCAGATGGATGCTCAAAGAAATTGCTATCATTGTTACAGGTGGAAAACCACATTTCAAGATGGGATCTCCTTTCCTTTGGCATGCAACTGATGAAACGAAACATGTTCACACTCCAGGAACGTTTTTGATGGCTTGCAATGCAATGATTTACGTAATGAGAAGATGTCTCAAAGATGGCGGAGAAATGAAAGAAATTGTAACGAATTTGTTCAATTTCATCCTCGATTTCAACATGAATAGAACCAAAACGGAAGTTCCAAAACAATACGAATCATTTTTGGATAAAAGATTTGTATTTGCGGTTTTTGCGGTTTTGTCAAATTCCTTGGATACAGAACAACCATATTCATTGATCAAACACAAGATTACGAACCAGGTTTACTATATAACTAAAGTAGACCACTTCGAACAATGCTATTATGGCTGGAGAATTCCAATAACTTCTTCTTCAAGTTTGGAAAGAATTGAATTTTCACCTCACTTTGTCACAAAATTAATTTTACCATTTGAAGCCGAAATGTATCCAGAATACGAGCGCTTGATACCATATTTCAAGACATCACTTCTTGAGAACCAATCGAGTTATTCTCGCGAAGCATTGAGCTACTTCATTTTAAGTAGTTTAAGTGTTTATTGCACGAACCAGAAATTCTTAAATGACTTCTTAGGAAGTGGAATTCCATTCCAACTTTCAAGATACAATGTCCATGATTACAACAAAGATTTTATTGATATCTTGAGAGCACATTTAAGTACTCCTTCCGCTGGATTTTGTGTTCCTCTTTCTACATCACCTAGATTATCATTTTGTTCGATGACAAACATCGCTGACATGAATCTCTGCAAAGTAACTGATCATTCTATTGTTGTTAATTGTGGAGCACAATCATTTGTCAGTGATCCATTGGATCCAAACCAAACAACATTCCTTCATTTGGAGTTTATTCCGAAACCAGATTTCGAAGTTGGTTTGCATTTCTTTTCTTTGCATCCTTCAACTTCGGAGACGTTTATCTTGAACTCCGATGGTGCAGCATTGTACAACGGTGTTGATGTTGAAACAATTCCTTTCATCATCTCTTTCACCGATGTTACATTAGCTTATAATCCTCGCAAACAAAAGTTGTTCATTTATGATGGACAAATGAGAGTTTTCACTTATAACACACCACATGGAATTGCTTCCTTTATATTACATACTTTCTCTCCATGTGATATTAACTATTCCATTGGTCCTTCTCCTCCTTCTCACATTCCAATGAATGAATCCCTTGAAAGATTGTGTCCTTCCGCAGGAAAAACTGTTTTCAGAAGAAACAAAAACAGATCAATTCCTATGGAAGAACAAATTAAAAGTGGAAACTTCTTGCAGACGAATGCACAGAAGATTACACCAACGAAACCAATCTTCCAAGCTTTGGATGATTTAAGAGACGAATTCGTTTACGATGAAGAAGTTAAACCACCTCCAATTGTCTCTTATCCAGCAGGAATCATCAAGAAACTTGGTCATACATTGAAGATAGACAATGCTGAAGAAATCAAGGCACAATTATTGACATTTCCAACTGCAAAATTAAACCATACATCGAATGTTGGAACATTATGTAACAATGTGATTTACAATGAATTGATTCATAATAACGGATCAATTATTAAATCATTCCCTCCAACAATGATGCCTGTTTTTGTTGATGACAATTCAGGAGATGTCACTAAACTCGATGATCCAATTGTTCAAGCAATAAACAGATTCCAACCTTTGCATCCAATGACATATTCAATTTTACCAGCAGAAATCCTCAATTTCTATGCAACAGGATATGTCAATTATACAAGAGGAGATACAATAAACAACATATTCTTATATGCTGTTACTTCTCCATCAATAGGAGCAAAGAAAGCCATTGAAGTTTTCAAGATTCCTTTGCATAATTTGATTGAATTCTCATTGACTTTGTTGTTACACATTGAACCAATAAGAATACAAGGCATCCAGAACAAAGAATGTCCAATTGATTTCTATGTAAATGCCTTGGCAGACAACCATCATGTCATTGGAGCAAATTACATCCATAAGCAGGCAATTGACCAGATTATGAAGTACATTGTTAACGAAGGATTGGCAACAGAAGCAGCAAGAATCTGGGATCATTTGCTTAACCAATTGTTCAGTGATTGCGGCTTCCATTTCGTAAAGAGAGGACAGCCACATGCAATCATTTCTCAATTGGCAGCTTTAGGACAACCAAGAGAAATCACTGAGCCAACAGCTAAAGGATTCATTCTGTTTAGAGCAGGATTTAACAATGAAGGATCAGTTATTATCAAAGAAGGAAAGAAAGAAGATCCGTTTTCAAAAGGAATTTATTATGTTCCATCTGATTCATTCACTATTTTACATGGCGACGCTGTTGGTGATGGTGTTGTTTCTCTTCCTGTTTATCCATCATCGAATGAATCATTCTTCGGAACATTCTTTGAGTTGGCAACATCATTCAAGTATTTCGTTTACTTCTTATCGATGTTCAACAACTCAATAAAGAATATCTCCGAATACAAGAACCACGCGTACATCCATTTCATTGATTCCTTCATTGTTATGTCTCCTTTCTTCAAGCAATACGGTAACAAAGTTTTGGAATTCTTGTGCCAAGTTTTGCCATTGAATTCAATTGATTTGGCCGGTGAAATTATTGTCAGATTGAGTGTTTTCTCTGTTTACAGCGAGAACAACAAACAGGCAATAATCAGACAGTTCTTAATCGACCAGCAAACAACAATTGAAGAAAGAATCTACCTTCCTTTGCGTGCATTCTTCACTCCTTTCAATACTCAAGCTTCCAAACTTGAAATCGAATTGGCTCCGAAACCAATTCCTGATTGGACAATCCCTGAAATTAATTTCCCGAACGAACTCAAATTGGGAACAGATTGCAGCGAATTCGCAGGTATTTTGATGAGAATTACTGCACAAAGAAACAAACTTGAAGGATTTCCATTCCATTTAGTCATGAAAGAATGGATATTGAATGCAAGAAGTTTCCCGAATTTCGACACACAAAGAATCAGCAACACTGAAATCAAAGTTAATATTCAAACAGTTTTCCCGACAACTTCGAAATTACACTTAGTTTTCAATGCTGATTTCGAAAAATACGGAAAGATGAAGTTCGAAAACGAGTCTGAATATCATTCCCCAGTTGAATTCGACTCAGACATCAGGACATTTTACATCCAGATTGAAGAAGAACCAAACACAACAATCAATCCAAAGTTCTTCCTCAAAAGTGATGAAACATCAGACATGAGAGAGTTTATCATTGCAAACAAAGATCAGTTTGTATCAGACATTGATAGATTGTTCTGTGCAGAATCAAATGATTACGTTACTGACGAAAGTAGCCAATCAATCTTACAATATGTTCCAAGCGAAACATTCATGAACAGAACAATCAATACAACTGTTACTTGTGCAATGATATTAACATGTCCAGCACTTATTCCTGCACACATCATTTCATTGCGTTTCAGAATTCTTTTACCAATGAATTGGCTCATTTTCCACAACTTGACAGGAGCAACTGATTCCCAAATCAGATACGCGTCAAGAATGATGCCACATGCTTTGAAACTAAACAAGTTCATGGCTTTGATCGATTCCAAATCGAACGACAACAACCACACGTTCGAAGTCGATAGAATTAAAGCTTGCGATGTAAGAGATGGAACATCACAAGATTTATCTCAAACATTCATCGCACAATTCGCAAAAGCCTACAAAGTTGTCAAAGTCTTCAGAAAGAGAGGAGATCAACCATTCAAAGTCAGGTTTGCGAAAGAACTTGGTACAGATCAAGGCGGTATTGCTAAAGAGTTTGTTGTTGAAGCATTGAAAGATATAACTCTTCCAACAACAGGTTTATTTGTTAGAGCTCCAAATGCAGAAAGTGGAGATGCAACAAATGCAGATACATTCATTCCAATTGCATGCAGCAGAATGCATGAACCACATAAGTTGTATCGTGCTATTGGTGCTATATTGGCTATCTCTATCAGATCAACGAACAACAGAGATACTCCTTTGGCTCCTTTCGTCTGGAATTTCTTGGCAACAAGGAAATTGACGATTGAGGACATTTTCTCAGTTGATTCTTCTTATAGAGATTTAATTAGTTCTTTAGAAGCAGCGCTTGATATGGGAATGGACGATGATACATTCAAGAACAGATTTAACTTGTCTTTCGTTGTTAGATCTGCTACTGGAGATGAAATTGCATTGACAGAATTAGGAAGAACTAAAGTTGTTACTCCCGCAAATTGCCGTGAATATATTTCATTGTCAAATGATTTCAGATTAAGCGAAGTCCGTGGATACTTGAATTTCATAAGAGAAGGACTTTGGGAGAACTTGGATATCAAAGCTCCTCCTTTCGTTGATGGACCATTGTTGAGATATTGCGTTTGCGGTGGTTCTTCATTGAAACCTGATGATTTACTCAAAGTTACTAAATTCGATTCATCAGTGAACAAGAGCGAAAGAGAGATGTTTATTAAGATATTGAAGACATTCTCAGAAGAACAGTGCCAGATGTTATTGAAGTTCGCAACAGCAAGAGAGAAATTGCCATCACAGACACAGCCTGGACCTGTTTTAATTGTTGATGCAGATAGAACTAAAGTTGATAGATGTCCAACTGCGGCTACTTGCTTCAACCAACTTCACTTGCCTTCTTACTCATCTTATGAAATTGCAAAGAACTTAATCCTTAAGGCTATCACTTATACAGGAACATTCGAAAACAAATGATTTATTTATTGTATTTATTTATTATTTGACTATTTATACTAAAAATTTATCTCTTTTTTTTATCTTTTATCTTAATTATTCAATAGGTTTCAATGCAAAACAGACTAATTTTGATAAAACATATTTTATTACAACAGGTTGAATGCAAACATATATTTATGCATTGTTGAGTTCCCACAACTATGCCACTCAATTTCCATCAAGTGGTGGGAAAAATTATACAAAGTAAATTAAGTTCTATATCATCGAATTATCAAAAAGAACATCAATTCTTATAAATCAAGAGGATGATGAAACTGTTCTTATTCATAGATGCAACAGTAAGTCAATAGAGAAAAGAAAAATTATGGTTGTTCTTACATTTAGTTCAATAATAAAACAAAAGATAAAATTGGAAAAACTCCTTTTTATAATGCAGCATCTAATAAATCTTGAAACATGGGTTTGCTTCATTTGAATGAAGCAAACATCAAAAATTAAAACCGTAATGCTATTCTATTTCCGAGATAATCGGCTTCCATATAATTATTCAACAAATATCTCATATGTTATAAAAAAGATACTTTTTTGTTAATTTATAATAAGCATATAGCTTTTTAATATCCATATTGGTCATTACGCAATTTATAATGCTATAATTTATCAGTGATGTCAAAGGTTTCTGAAATTGATTTACTAAAGAAGAGCCTTTCCATCATTGAAGCACGTATAACTGATCAGAACACAAACGCTAATGCTGTACTACAAGAATTAAATGAATTACAGAGATTTATCTCTCCGAAAAATCTAGATAAATATTTACCAATGTTAGAATCTATATTAGATGTCTTATTTTCAATAAGTGATGACCGTGATGTCTCAGTTCGTCACATAGCATCAGTAATTCTTGATTCTTCAGTTCAAGTAATTCTTCCTTTCCATAAATCTCCGATTTTACACTATATTTCGCAACACTCTACGATCAAATATCAGCCACATGCCTTAGTTTCAATGATAGAACTCGCTTTAAAAGTTACATTATTCTTAACACACTCAGTTATCTTAGATCTTTTCTCTCAATTGACATTTTTACTCGAAACATGTGCATCTCATTCATCAGAGATTGTTGCAGAAAATTTCAACAGAATGGCACCTCAAATTCGTCAATTCATTGAAAAACCAGAAATTAGATTACAATTAATACGTTTACTCGGTGAACCAAAGGATTCTGTCCTTTCAGCTCGCTGGGCAATCAAAACTGCAGCTATTTTTGCATATCCAGACATAATCGAACAATCATTACCATTTATTCCACAGAAAATGTACTTTCTAGCATCAATGCCTGAAATAAAAATACCAGAAATACCTCTTGGTGCTACTTTCGAAGATCTTTTACCATTTATTGAACAAGATCCATTTCATTTTACAGATTACTTACAAAAACCTCCAGAAGATCACAGACAATTAGCTCCATTCCTTCTATGTCTCAAGAATGCCCTTCCTTATGGCTTTAAACCTGAATTTGACATTAAAATTTTAACAGATATCTCAAGAGAACCAAATATCTCATCTCTTCAATACGAATGCATTGCATTAGGTATGTTATCAGAAGTAATCAATGTAGATCTCCGCGAAATCTTCTCAGAAGTCACTTCTTCGACAATTTCAGCTTATTCGATTTGTTTCAACCGTTTCCCTTCAATAGAGTTCCTTGAAAGTGTCCTAAACATGGGCTGCGAATCCCCTGTCACTGCCAAATTAGTTGTTGGCTTTCTTTGCGAAATTGATTTTTCGAGATTTAAAAAATTCATCAAAAAATCAGCTACAAAGATCGCGACAATTGCAAAGAGCAGCCACGACATTGTACAAAAAGCACTTTGTGAAAAATGTCCTCATTTTAACAATGGAGATGTTTTACCTTTATACGAAAAATTCCTTGAATCTGCTGATTATTTCGATTCCAACAGTTTCAAGAACCTTTGTTGCGTTTTAAGTAGCATGAGTTGCCCGAGAGTTGATGATTTAACTAATGCTTTCTTCGCGACATTGACAGAAATCGATGGAGAAATAATTTGGGGTGATGTCACTTCACTTCACTCATTTTTGACTTCACTTAAGAGGTTTTGCATGCATAGCAGATTGATACGGATTCCTCAGTACATTGCATCTCTTCCTGAGTTAGTACTCTACGCAATTGCTTGTTTTATTTGCACAGAACCTCCTCATTCTTTGACAAAACTCAGTTCAAATTTTCAATGCCAAAGTGGTCGATGTTTGGCCTCAATTTTATCGAAACAGAGTCAAGCAGATTTACTTGAATTAAGGGATATTGCGGCTTCATGTGTTGGTGCATTGAAGACACAAGTTGTTGTTGATTTAGTTTCTTTGGATGTGATTGGAAGAAAACTTTTACCATGGCCTTCTGCGAATAATTGGCTTTTGCTGAATAATACGAGTGCAAAAGCAAATGTTGAAACAACTGCTGGCGTTCTTTCTTGCGATCCAAAGGTTGTTTTCGCTGCTGCACAAGTTTCTCCTGAAAAATTACCAAAAACATGTTACAATCTATCACCAGATTTAATTGTTTTGGCATTGGAAAAAGGAGAAAAAATAGAATTTAATTTGAATTTAAGTTTGATAAAAGCTGCTAACAGAAGAAAAGAATTTCCACAACAAATCGCTGAGAAAATGAAGGGATCGTGGATGGCTGTAGCAATTAAAAAACACTTCGAATTAGATTGCGTGAAAGAAATTTACGCAAAGCCATTTAGAGAATGGTCTGGACCTCCTGCTTTCTGGAGTTTAGTCCCTTATTTTGTGGCAAGGTTAATTTCAAGAGGTGTAAAAATTGACTTCACCGGGGAACTTCCCCCTCCTCAAAAATTTATAACCGCCAAAAACGTAAGAATTTTCAGAAAAATTGTGAAGCCATGCCCGATCAAAAACATGGTAATTAAAATGCCTAAGAAGGAAGAATACAATTTCTCGATTGACGAAGAAATTGATTACTTTGGACCAGAAGTTTTGAGAGGACTCAGAAACTATTTGTATAGAAAAATTGAATGTGGAACATTTGAGGAATTAATTACTAAGCCAAAGATACACATTTCTCCATCATTAATTGCTATTTGTCACAATGAATTGAGTAGGGATGTCACTGAATGTTCTTATGATTTAGTTTGTTTGAATATTGAATTGGCAGCGATTTCTGATGATGTCCCTAAAGATGATGCGAAGAATTTACTCAAAATGACATCATTTAAATCGCATTGGATATCATTATTAAACAAGAAAGAAAGTTGGGCTCCAGAATTATTGATAACTCCTGAATTCATTGATGAAAATGTTTTCACCGAAAGAGAATTGTTTTCATTCAAATTATACAGTTTGAAGAATAATATCAGCACATTTAATTTGGATCCAAAAACAAATGAATACAGAATTTATGATACAACAACAATTAGATTTAGTCATGCACTAAGAGCAATGATTGTTCCTTCATTCAATCAAAGAAATGAACAGAAAATGTTACATATAATCAGTGATTTTGGTGTCAGTAAATTTGAGTTGAAAGCGTTGGAAACATGGTGTTCAAAAGGACATAAACCGATGTCATTACTTAGATTCATTTTGGCTTCTTGTTTGAACGGATGGACTTATTTCCCTCACGAATTCATTGAAGCAATTAAAGCAGCAGTTCCTAATGATGATTTATGTTTGCAGATAAGAGCAAATATAATGGCTGCAAAGGATTCGCCTCTCAAACAAGCTTTGGAGAAATTAATTCCTATTTCTCAATAATTTTATTTGTATTTTTTAAAATAAAAATTTATGTTTTTTTACAGTTTCCTTTAATAACATGAATAAATAAACAGATGAACAGATTAATCTTTAGATAAATGTGCCTTTGAGCTTGAATTTGCTTGTATTTAGAATATTCTATTTGTTGATTAGTAGTTTGCAAATATGTGCTACCTTGTTTAATTCTTTTTTAATAAATGATTCCAGATTATTGCTCACATCTCATAATGCATCTATGATAATAGCTCCATTACCTTATTAGTATATTTGAACTGTGCATGAAAAACGTATTCCCGCATTGAATTCCTTTAAATCACAAAATTAATTAATTTGAATCTCATGAATCTTCATATAATCAAAGAAAATGGCACTTGCACATATTAAACCTTTCACTTTCTTTATTTATATTATGCATTGTATTTAGCAAATAAATCTTTAACAATCACTCTTAATGATACCTCAGTTGATAGTCAATTTGCTGAATTTCAAGAAAGTACTGTAACACTTAAATATCCTTGCAATCAAAATACTAATATATGCATTCCGTTCAAAACTGTATTTCAACCAGGAATATATTTGATAGAATTATGGGGTGTATCAGGCGGATATACTAGTACTCAGCCATCAGCAGGGGGATACGGTTCATACACATCAGGATACATTGCTCTGATGAAGAAAAACATTTTTTACTTTTATCTAGGGCAGCAAGGAAAATTCAATGGTTTTCCAACCTTTAATGGTGGAGGAAAAGGCACAAACTCTGTATATGGAGAATCTTTTGCTGGATCTGGTGGTGGAGCTAGTGATATGAGATATATTTTTGGTGAATGGAATGATACAGAATCATTAAAGTCGAGAATCATCGTTTCTGCTGGTGGTGCTGGGTCTGCATATTACGCTAAATTTCTGCAAGGTGGGCATGGGGGAGCATTAACTGGCTATTCAGGTACGCAAGCTAGAACTGCTTCAAATTCTTATCACTTAACTAATTCCATCGGTGCTACCAATGTATTAGGCGGAATTTCCGGTTTGTCAAATGTTAAAAGCCATAATTTGACTATGAATGGATCGTTTGGAATTGGCGCCTTACCTTATGATGTGAATTATGGGTCGGGAGGTGGGGGAGGTTATTATGGAGGAGGAGCAGGAAATGTTGTTAATGATTGTGTTGGATCTGGGTCAGGAGGATCTTCTTTCATCTCTGGTTATAAAGATTGTGATGCTATCGCAAAAGAATATACATTAGCGAATCCGATACATACAGGAACACCATACCATTACTCTGGTTATGTTTTCTCAAATCCAACCATGAAAGATGGTGTTGCATCTAAATATACTGGCAATGGCCAAGCTCGAATTACCATAATCCATGACTTTTTCCATTTAAAAAATAGCTGTATGCTTTTATACTCTATGGCTCAACTTAATTTTTATTTCTTAATCTTTATCTTTATTGACAGTTAGTTAATAAAATGTATGTTATCCAAATATATATTCATAAAAATAAAAAGTTTTTATTCTGGATAATGGTCAATTGAGAATACATCATAAAATAATATTTGGATCTTTGAGTGATTAAATACAATATTTAGAAGATTTCATAATATTCTGCAAAAACAGTTGGGTTTCGATCTGAAATTTGCAGACCCCAATTATTCATTTTTGTTTTATATAGTTTGTGATATGCAATTATCTCTTTTCAATTCATATTTGTATTTTGTTATTCAATAAGTTAGTATGTCCAGCGATGAACGAGTGATAATTAGTATCCTTCTTGATTTTTGGATATATCAAATGCACAACTAGGATATACTAGCTGCGATTCCTTTAAATCACAATTATAAATTTAGAGGATCACCTCATACCAAAAGCAATTGATATCAATGAAAGTTTTTGCTAATTGAATATTATAATTTCCTAATATGTAGTGCTCATTGGTTTAAGCAAATAAATCTTTATCTATCTCATTGCAAGACATCCCAGTGGATGATAAATTTGCTGAATTTCAAGAAATTATTGTAACACTTAAATATCCTTGCAATCAAAACACTTATAATTGCACATCATTCAAAGTTTGTTTTGATCCTGGTATATATTTGATAGAATTATGGGGTGCATCAGGCGGATACACTGATTTTCTGCCTTCAGCAGGGGGATACGGATCATATACATCAGGATACATCGCTCTGAAGAAAAAAAGTAGTTTTTATTTTTATCTAGGTCAACAAGGAAAATACAATGGTTTTCCAACATTTAATGGTGGAGGAAAAGGTACACGCACCCCAAATGGTGGTGCCTTTGCAGGATCTAGTGGTGGAGCTAGTGATATGAGATATATTTTTGGTGAATGGAATGATACAGAATCATTAAAGTCGAGAATCATCGTTTCTGCTGGTGGTGCTGGGTCTGCATACTATGCTAACTTTCCGCAAGGTGGACATGGAGGTGCAATAACTGGTTATCAAGGAATTCAGCATAGAACTGCCTCATCTGCATACTACCTAACCAATTCTATTGGTGCTACCAATGTATTAGGGGGAATTTCCGGTTTGTCAAATTATAAAAACCATAACATGACTATGAATGGGTCGTTTGGAATTGGCGCCTTACCTTATGATGTGAATTATGGGTCGGGAGGTGGGGGAGGTTATTATGGAGGAGGAGCAGGAAATGTTGTTAATGATTGTGTTGGATCTGGGTCAGGAGGATCTTCTTTCATCTCTGGTTATAAAGATTGTGATGCTATCGCAAAAGAATATACATTAGCGAATCCGATACATACAGGAACACCATACCATTACTCTGGTTATGTTTTCTCAAATCCAACCATGAAAGATGGTGTTGCATCTAAATATACTGGCAATGGCCAAGCTCGAATTACTGTCCTTTTTGAAAATTATTTGCAGTTACAAAAAAGTTCTGTTCATCATTATTCGATGCATCAATTTAATTTTTATTTCTTCATCTTTATCTTTATCGATAGTTAATTCTTGATTTGAAATTAAAATTCAAATTTATAACACATGAAGTTTTTTTGGAGGAGGCAAATGCACATATATTATGTGTGCATTGAATCATTGATATTCTGCAAGAATTAAACTTAGAATAGTTGTGAAAAAATTATATTAAACTCCAAAACAATTTATATTAAAGAATTCTATGATAGGGCATAACCTGATGATATGCAATAATATATAAGCAATCTATTGAGATTTTTGACCAAAGATCAAAAAAAATATTCCAAAATTTTTTCTTCAGCAGCATTCTGAATGCTTTTCCTTTTCCTGCTTCGGCACCTGCGAAACAGGAGTAAAATGCGTTGGCAATGCAGCTAAGTCGTCTGCGATTCTTTGGAATAAAGGAACGACAGTCTCATGTTGCTTTGCTGAAGTGAAAAAGTATGGTACATCTTTAGATTTTGCCCATTCTTCAAACTCATTTTGGCTGTATCCTGGAGGTAAATCTACTTTATTTGCAACAATATAGACTTTGCATGAGATGGGACAGTTATCTTTCACCATCTTATACCAATTTTCACCTTGTACTAATGAATCATGGTTGGTTAGGTCCGTTACTATGATTGCAGCGGAAGAATTTCTTGAATACATCGGAATAAGACTCTTAAATCTTTCTTGGCCAGCTGTATCCCACAAATTTAGAACAACTTCGCCTCTCTCTGTTAAAACACGCATTTGAACGTAAGTTGCTGCAATTGTGCTTTGTGTATCGCTTGCAAATGATTTAGTTGTATACATATTGATGATACTTGTCTTTCCGACACCAGCGCAGCCAACAACAATGACTTTTCCCTCTGGAACAGTTTCACAAATTTTCATTTAGTTTTGTCAAATTTTGGAGATATTCAAATCCCATTACAAAATGGAAATAAGATTTGATATGTGTTATAGTGAAAATATCAATTTTCAAATCCGAAGATAAACAAACTAAAAATGCTGGAAGTTGAACAATTTGATTCAGCAGTTAATGTATTTGATTTATGCAGGAGACCACTCAAAATTTGCAACATTAATCAAACTCCTATATTTAAACCAACATCTACTCGTATTCCATGCATAAAAGCAATTCATGATGTAAGAAAGTCATGTACTGAAGCAGCATGGGAACAGCAAATTGCAGAGCCTATTGAAGAAAATGCTACTGTTGATGGAAATATCAAAGAAAACGTTTTTTCAGACCATTTTAATCGAGATTTTGAAGATTTACAACTTCCAACACCAGAAAACAGGCCAGTTCCAATATTACATGCTGAAGAATCATATATTAGAACACGTCCTCACTGGCATACTGATGTTCCTACAATGAATATGCATTATCAAAAGAAAATAAATATTAAAGACGTTTCTGATCCATTACTTACAATACCATTACCAAAATGTGATGTTTGTGATAATCAATTAGAATATCCGTTTTTTGCAAATCCAAAGTACAATATTTGCAAGAAATGCTACTCCGAAGCCAAATTATCACCATTTACATCTACGAAAGATCTATTTCTCATCAAAGAACCTCAATACAATGATGGAAATTGGACTTTGGCAGAAACAAACAAATTACTTACAATTATTGAAGAAATTGGTGATGATTGGCAGACTGTTGCAAAGGAAATGAAGAATAGAACACCAGCTGAGTGCTGTCTCCATTTCTTACGTTTACCAATTATGGATCAGTATTATAATGATGATGTCAGAGTTGTTGAAGCTTCAGATGATGTTCAACAAGCTTATCTTCCTTTCCTGATGGCTCCGCATCCAATTGCTTCTTTTGTTGAATTTATTCATATTTACAATACGAAACTTGGTTCCGCTGTTGCTGAATCATCACAGCAGATCATCGAATCTCTTCTTAAAGCAAATTCTAGCATGATTCCGTTTACTCAAATCCCAGATATTCTTACAAAAATTGTTAAGGCTACAAGTCATCATGCTGGTATCCTTGCCAATGAAGAAGCTGACACAATGATAGATTTGCTCACAGAAGTTGATCATAAGATGAATAACCTCGTTTTTGAGCAATTTAAGGAGATTCTGACAAAACTAAAGAATATCGATCAAAGAGCTTCATCATTGGGCTTTTCTTTACCTATGGAGAAACAAAATGAATAAAAAATTAGAGATTATTTTTTGTTTTTTAAAAATATCTTTTGATTAAGCAGTATTTACAGCCAATATATTTTAATGGATAACTTTGTTTATATACCGAAAATCTTTTTTAAATTTTATAAAAATATTTTTCTTAAATGTTGAATTTATAAGTAAAAACACTCCTAAAAAGATTCGTTTTATAAAACAAAAATGATATTTTGATAATATTCTATGTTGTAACGCCAAGTTTAACATCGGCATCTTTATGGAATTGGAAAGTAGCAGTAACTGCAGTATCTTGGTAATTACAATTTTGCTCTTCACGACTCTTATGAATTGCGCGTATATGTGCTTCTTGATCTTTAATCTTTTTCTTCAAATCGTCAATTTGTTTCTGTAATATTTCAGGATCATTAGCTTCACGGTTTTTCTTAATTGCATCGATTTGAGATTTAAGTGTGCCGAGTTGCATTTCCAGGCTAGCAATCATTTCATCCGCATTTCCAGACATTGTTTAGATTGTCACTTTTTATAATTTTATGCAGAAGTTCATTTATGAAAAAAGCTCAAATTGTTGAATAAAAAACAGTGATGGATACAAAATTCCATCGTAATAGATACTATTCTCTCTATATATACCTATATTTTTTGATTTTCAGCCAGATTATGGTTATTCAATATCGATTAATCATATAGAATGACGTCTATATTAAAATAATATGCATGATAGGAATACATTTCCTGAGACTCGGATTTTTTGAAATATAACATTCATTTGCATATGATATGCGCTCATTCATATATTTGATATTCTGATTTAAGAAATTTGCTTATAAATTTAGCTCAAGAACATGTTTTAATGTTTATTTATGAGAAATAAATCAAATATATAAAAAAAGAATGATCATTGATAAGTATTTCATCTGTGCTCAAACGTTTAATGATAATTGGGAACTCTGCTTGGCAAATACCTGTTGAAAAATGTCTCAATTTGTTAGTATATATTGATTTTGTATTTTGAGGAGATACATAACTAAGAAATGTGTTTTGAATAGAATCATCGATGAAACAATTATTTACAGTTAGTAGATCACGGTCATTTTTAATCAAATAAGAATTTTTTGGTGATGTGTTGTTAATAAATGCACAACTTTCGATTTTTAGAGGGCCATCATAATGATAAATAATTCCAACTCCTGTGTGCGTGTTATTGATGAAATTACAATATTGCAAAGACGAATTATAATAAATATTGAACATTTCACCTTCCCAGTTTGTCGCTTTATTATTTATAATCGTTATATATTTAATTTTTGTTACGTAACTAAGTGTAGGGCACTCAAAATGTCCAACAGATTTCGCTAGAGCTTTACAATCTGAGAAATTAGTAGATGAAACTAGAATATTGCCATTTTCGGCGTTGACACCACGGTTACCAACTTTTTCGTTTCCTACATCATAAAAAGAGCTCTCAATTAAAAAATTTAGGTTATTTGTCCCAACTTTTGTATATGAAAATTCCCCATATTTTTGGCATTGGCATATGCTACAGCAAAATCTTCGTTGAACAATCGAACTGTTGCTACCAGTGACGAAATTGATGCAACCACCATTGCCTGTTGAACTGCATTTATTGAAATAGCAATGGTTATGCAAAAATAATGTGTTTGAAACAGAATTGAAGTCAATAACTCGATCGGTGTCATCAATAAAATTGCATGAATCTAAGTAATATTGGCCTTTTTGAGAATCTGGATTACAGTTTAAACATTTTTCTATTTTGTTACCAGTAAATCTGCCTTGAAAGTAATAGTACCAAACATCGTCATCCAGAAGAGACGACTTATTTCAAACTCATTCAAACAAACTGTAGTTTTCTTTTGAATAATGTAAATTATTTTATATTACAGTATTTAAGTAAGCCTTAATATCGATATAATTGAATAATATTTTCAAAAATTTTGACAAATTTCAATCATTGTCAATTTGAAGAATATCTGTCAAAAAGTGAAGACTGTCTTCCTGTACATTGAATTCAATTACCTCTGAGCATTATTGAAGCCCTAAGAATTAAAAATCTAAAATGTTCTGATTAAATTTTTTCGAATTTTCGCAGACTTTTCAGAGGATTGAGCTCCAGCTCAATTTTCTGAAATAGACTGTTAAAATTTAGTATCTTAAACCCATTTCAATATAGGCTCCAATTTTAAATGCATTTGATAAATCGAGCATTGAAAATTGGGTTAAGATATGGAAATTTTATATGAGTTTGTCGTTTAGTATTTTAATCCCCATCACATTTCATATAGATTTTTCTAAAATACCCTTAAGTTCATGCCTTGCAAAATTTTTTTATATGGTGAAACTTATTATTCATTTTGAGATACAAGAAATGAGAAATAGACAATATAGTTATAGATATAGATGGGTCTCCTGCTAGAGATTAATCCTATGTAGTTTTTATAAGAATATAAGATATTCAAATTTGATTTATCTCATTAAAGTTAAAAATAAAAACTAACATTAAAAATAGTGTTTTTATGATATAACTATGCTATATATATAAAAAATTGAAAAAAATAAATAACTAATTTAAAAATCGAAAATTGAAAAATCAGTGGCTTAAACGATTCAGCTTCTTATTAGAAATCTAATTTTTAAGAAATGAGGGAAAACAAATCAATATTGACGAATTAATAAATCACATTTTAACGCTTAGATATTATTCAAATATATCCTTTTTAAAAGATTTGATATGGTATGACATTTTTACTGCCGAAGTTTCGAAAACACTTAAATCAAATAACAATAATGCAAATTTCAAATTCAGGGCGAAATATGGTGAATAACCAGGATCAGAGGTGGACATCGGCTTTATGATATGCAAAATAAGATAATAAAGCTTAATAGCGAAATGTAAAAAACATGAAGATTTTGGGGTTAAAATAAGTTGAAAATAATTTTTATGATATGAGTATTATACGTGATATTTTAGAATGCGAAAATCTCAATTTTGTCAAAAATTACAACCGTTTTAAAATTGAATGGGAAAAAAATTATAGTAAAGTTAATACTGATATTATATTAACCAAATATAGATATTAAAAATAAGAGGTTAAATTTAGCTTTGTGGAAAAATTCTGAATTTTTGAATTGAATTTTAAAAATGTTAAACTGATATAAAAAAATTAAGCGTGAATAGGTAAGAGAGGATGATATTTTCATTTAAATTTCCCATAATGAAACATTGTTACGAATAGGACAATTGAATAAGGAATTTTTTGTGATAAGAGAGTGATATCAGTTTTAAAAAACATTTATTTTGCAAGATATTGAAATAAAGAGATATGAAATTTAGAATATTAGAATTGTTTTATAGAAATAACATTTAATTAAGAAAGTTAAACAATGGAAAGTTTTTTAGAATCATTTGTGATTCTTCTCAAAGTTGCATCAAAGACAGCCATTGATAGACAATGTTTGTCCTTGTGTTCAATAAACACGTGTTATTTATGTATATACACGTGTTTGTTGTTCACTGAGCAACTTTGAGAAGAATCATTTGTGATTCTTCTCAAAGTTGCATCAAAGACAGCCATTGATAGACAATGCTTGTCCTTGTGTACAACATTCACTTGTATACAAAACAATAACAAGTGTTTGTTGTTCACTGAGCAACTTTGAGAAGAATCATTTGTGATTCTTCTCAAAGTTGCATCAAAGACAGCCATTGATAGACAATGGTTATCTATTTGTTCAATAAACACGTGTTATTTATGTATATACACGTGTTTGTTGTTCACTGAGCAACTTTGAGAAGAATCATTTGTGATTCTTCTCAAAGTTGCATCAAAGACAGCCATTGATAGACAATGCTTGTCTTGTGTACAACATTCACTTGTATACAAAACAATAACAAGTGTTTGTTGTTCACTGAGCAACTTTGAGAAGAATCATTTGTGATTCTTCTCAAAGTTGCATCAAAGACAGCCATTGATAGACAATGGTTATCTATTTGTTCAATAAACACGTGTTATTTATGTATATACACGTGTTTGTTGTTCACTGAGCAACTTTGAGAAGAATCATTTGTGATTCTTCTCAAAGTTGCATCAAAGACAGCCATTGATAGACAATGCTTGTCCTTGTGTACAACATTCACTTGTATACAAAACAATAACAAGTGTTTGTTGTTCACTGAGCAACTTTGAGAAGAATCATTTGTGATTCTTCTCAAAGTTGCATCAAAGACAGCCATTGATAGACAATGGTTATCTATTTGTTCAATAAACACGTGTTATTTATGTATATACACGTGTTTGTTGTTCACTGAGCAACTTTGAGAAGAATCATTTGTGATTCTTCTCAAAGTTGCATCAAAAGACAGCCATTGATAGACAATGGTTATCTATTTGTTCAATAAACACGTGTTATTTATGTATATACACGTGTTTGTTGTTCACTGAGCAACTTTGAGAAGAATCATTTGTGATTCTTCTCAAAGTTGCATCAAAGACAGCCATTGATAGACAATGCTTGTCCTTGTGTACAACATTCACTTGTATACAAAACAATAACAAGTGTTTGTTGTTCACTGAGCAACTTTGAGAAGAATCATTTGTGATTCTTCTCAAAGTTGCATCAAAGACAGCCATTGATAGACAATGGTTATCTATTTGTTCAATAAACACGTGTTATTTATGTATATACACGTGTTTGTTGTTCACTGAGCAACTTTGAGAAGAATCATTTGTGATTCTTCTCAAAGTTGCATCAAAGACAGCCATTGATAGACAATGGTTATCTATTTGTTCAATAAACACGTGTTATTTATGTATATACACGTGTTTGTTGTTCACTGAGCAACTTTGAGAAGAATCATTTGTGATTCTTCTCAAAGTTGCATCAAAGACAGCCATTGATAGACAATGCTTGTCCTTGTGTACAACATTCACTTGTATACAAAACAATAACAAGTGTTTGTTGTTCACTGAGCAACTTTGAGAAGAATCATTTGTGATTCTTCTCAAAGTTGCATCAAAGACAGCCATTGATAGACAATGCTTGTCCCTGTGTACAACATTCACTTGTATACAAAACAATAACAAGTGTTTGTTGTTCACTGAGCAACTTTGAGAAGAATCATTTGTGATTCTTCTCAAAGTTGCATCAAAGACAGCCATTGATAGACAATGGTTATCTATTTGTTCAATAAATACGTGTTATTTATGACGCCTTCATCCACAATCTTCTTCTGATTGTCTGACTTTTGTCAACAAAGTGCAACAGTGCACTGTTATTGTGTGCTATGTGTCATTCTGGGAGACATTGTCTATGCAAGTCTCCCAGAATGACACATTCATCCACAATCTTCTTCTGATTGTCTGACTTTTGTCAACAAAGTGCAACAGTGCACTGTTATTGTGTGCTATGTGTCATTCTGGGAGACATTGTCTATGCAAGTCTCCCAAAATGAAACATATCTCTTCAATCATCTTTTATTCTTTTAATTTTGTCTCATATTAATAAAATATCTCTTTTCAACATATTTTCTTCTAATACCTGACAATAACCTAACATAACACCTCTTTAAAACCACTTTTTCTTCTCTATTTGCTTTTAAATTCTGAGATTCAAATTTTTATCTATTTTCTTCAGTTATCTTTTTTAAAAATCATATATCCATTCATACTGATTCTTAATTTACTATAGTACATTGAGATTTCATCTTTTTTTTCATATTTCGAATTAAATCAGATATTTAAACCTAATATCCGGACCTGTCAGTATTCAAATATTATTGGCCACATGTATCTGAGCATTTACACAGATTTTACCAAATTTTGCAAAAAATATGTTATGAGATGGGTGTTTGCGAAAAACCAAAATGATAGAGTGGATCATAAGGATCAATTTTGCTATGGCTTGTCTGGATTGAAACTCAATATTCATTCGGGAAAAGACGTTTGAAAATTTTGTAAAGTATTCAAATTTGCAGCTTTGTTCGATTTGAAAATTGAAATTTGAACCGAAATGACTGTATGAATATGTTCTTCATATTGAATCTAAGCATTTCTTGGAATTTGGAGTTTTTCTAAAAAGTTTTGTCGGTTGAAAAATTAAAAATAAAACAAAAGAATTTTTTTGCGATTTTTTAAACGCATTAGGGTTGTTAGATTCCCGACGATAGGTGTCTTGGAAGATTTGCCTGGTGTCATCATAGTGTCTTTAAATCAAAAATTTTATTTTGGAGTTAGTTTTATTGATTTTTCAATAAAAAACATTTCTAAAACAAGAAAATAAAACGATAAAATATTTATATTTTATATAAGGATCTTATATATTTAAAATAAATATCATTTTATTTTTTTCATTGGTGTCTGTCAAACCATAATACACTATTCAAAAATTCAATGTGTCTTGCGGTTTCAAAAGACACCTTCAAATTGAACGATAGCACAGACACTATTGAATTTTATCCATTTTATTTAGTTTTTACCCTTTTTATTTTTAAGAATTAATGACTGAAACACAAGATGAATATGAATCCAAATTTGAGGGATGGATTGATTGCAAACTTCCTCCCAAAAATATCCCTCGAAAAGTACCTCCCTTACCAAAATTCGAGGATACTAAATTCTCAACTAATAATAAATGTCGAGTATGTTTCAATATTGCTTATCTTCCAGATACAAGCGAAAAATCGAAAGAACGAAAAAGACTTTATTGTTATTGTTTAGCGATACATTACAATTTACTAACAAAAACATATATGCGCTGCATTTATCATCGAAAACCATTAGTGTTGTAAGACGAGTTACGGAAAGTGAGGTGAACCGAAAAAGTGACACTTATTTGGTCGGATAAATTCCCTATATATTTACTTGTCAAAAAAAATCAGACTTTTTTTGCTTTAAAAAATTTATAAGTTAATTATTGAGAACGAAGGTGAAAGGAAATGGATATCTCTTACCTTTCATTCCCTCGAGAAAGTTCAAAAACTTGGGTGCAATCAGTTCTGATTGCACCCAAGTTTTGAACTTTGTATAAGGAATTGTTGGCTATGATGTACTGATCATGAATCAGTACATCATAGCCAACAATTCCTTCGCAAACAGCGGGAAACTTTGTCCGAATAGTTTAACATTCAGACAAAGTTTCCCGCTGTCGAGAGGGAATGGAAGGGTAAGAGGTATATATTCATAATGTATACCTCTTACCCTTTCATTCCCTCGAGAGAAGTTCAAAAACTTGGGTGCAATCAGTTCTGATTGCACCCAAGTTTTTGAACTTTGTATAAGGAATTGTTGGCTATGATGTACTGATCATGAATCAGTACATCATAGCCAACAATTCCTTCGCAAACAGCGGGAAACTTTGTCCGAATAGTTTAACATTCAGACAAAGTTTCCCGCTGTCAGAGAGGGAATGGAAGGGTAAGAGGTATATATTCATAATGTATACCTCTTACCCTTTCATTCCTCGAGAAAGTTCAAAAACTTGGGTGCAATCAGTTCTGATTGCACCAAGTTTTTGAACTTTGTATAAGGAATTGTTGGCTATGATGTACTGATCATGAATCAGTACATCATAGCCAACAATTCCTTCGCAAACAGCGGGAAACTTTGTCCGAATAGTTTAACATTCAGACAAAATAATTTAAAATAATGAAAAAGTTGATTTGTGAATCATTGAAATATTAATGCTGTTATATATATATATCAGATGATATAAGATGATTTTTTTAAATAAAAAATAAAATTTAATTTTTTAATTGTTACAATAAGAATAGTAAGCTTGACAAGTAATTTAAGTTTTTGCTTTGTAAAGTTATTTGGTTGGCAAATGTATTGTGTCACTTTTTGTTTGAGTTCACTTTCCGTAATTTGTCTTATGATATTACAACATTTACTTTATTTCTTTTCAACATCATAACTGCTCCTGCTGTAGCTAGCAAACCTAGTGGGAGACCATATCTTATATAAGGACTTGACCAAATGCTATTTTTGACAGGAGCTGGTGGAACACCTAACCTTGGTGAGACTGCTCTTTGCCATTGTGCAGCTCGTAAGAAATATTCAATAGGTGCTCCATAATCGTTTGGTAAAGTTTGTTTCATAGATGGTGAAGGTTCACGAGAGCTTGATGAAGAACTCATTTATAAGCTTTAAAAATAAACGTTCATCCTTTATTCCTCACTGTCGTCCGTAGCTAAGTTATAGTCATCTAATCTTATTATGGGGATGCCATTAGCACGCACCTGAATGGCAAAGCAACAATCCCTCATAAATCCAATAAGTGGCTTTGGTACATTTTCGGTTGCTAGTTCAATAGGTCCTTTAACAGACAATTTGTATGTTATTGGAGCAGTAGATGTTTGACCTTGCTGGAAGCAAAAGTCCACTTCTGTTGGAAAACCACATAAGAAATGTGTGTTGTCATAGCTATCCCATTTATGTTCCACACTACCATCATCCACCAATGACCTCATAACATCTTCATTAAATCCTATCATATCATTGTTTGTATTGCAGGCGTTCGCAACCATTTCATAAAATACAGGTCCATATGATTTTTCAGGTTCTGCAGGCATATTTCCATAAGCTCCCATGGAAAGCTGAAGATATTTAAACTTAGGGTTCTCAAAATTAACATAATAGTTGTCTTTCTTTCTAAATAGTGCCCAAATACTTTTAACATTAATAGGCGTATAAGCTGCTGTAAATGTTGCACTTGAACTATCTGTATTCTTTGAGAATGAACCGTCCATAGGAATCCAATCCATAACTTTAACAGGAAAACATAAAGCCTCGTTTGTATAATGTTCTACAAGTTCTGTATAAATGTTAGGGTCTAAAGAGAATGACTTTGGATGAATGAAACATTCATTAAAATCCATCTTTGTTCGAAATAGTTGCTGGGTTACAGTTGTAATAGTAACTGTTCCACTAGCTTCTACTGCCTTCGTTATCATAGTGAATGGTTCATTCCATGGAACAAATTTATTTGTCGGTGGATTTGAATCTGAAGCAAATGCAACTTTAAGAGTTGGATTGAAAGCAATGATATCATTTACAGATATAGATGTGCATTGTAAGGCGTCGCTACTGAACTTTACTTTAAGCTGAATGTTTCCTGCAAAAGCTGGAATAAATCGAATAGCTTCTAATGGAAGGAATCTTCTAACAGGAATTCTTAAACGAAGCTTAAAATCAAATGATTTTCCTGCTGTAATTGGACCACTAACAATTTGTCCTGTTCTGCATGTTCCCGAATGACTCCATACATCTTCATGTCGAGTCTTTGAGAAAACATCTACTTTCTTTATTTGTTCGGTAGTTTGTGAGTTTGAAGTTATATATGCTTCTTCTCTTGCGTTGTCTTGAGAATATACGATACGACCATTTGCAAGGATTTGATATCCAGCAACTGCATAGAAAGCGTCATCGAAACCAATCCAAAATCCTGGTGGGTTTGTTTTATTGGAACCTGAACCAATTTCTTTATCTACAATAAATTGACCTTCCATTTTATACGTAATGAATGTATTGTAAAGGTCCAACATATTTTCACCAGGAGGTGAGAGATTGAATGTTACCCATGTGTTATCTTTAGCAGTTCCAGGTTGTGATGGAATCTTTGCGTCAGAATATTTTCTATTAGTGTCACCAATTTGAACTGCATTGTCTATGATATCGAAATATGAGCGAATCTGATGAATATGCTCTGCTGGAGTAAATTCGTTTAGCTGTTCGTTCTGCATGTATTTACTTCAGATAAAAATATCTATTTACTTCATTATTCTCACTCTTCTTCTTGGCATTCGTGGTGGAAGTTGTTTCTTGACATTTTCAATGAACTGTACATTCTCTTTTGTCTCAACTTCTTTCACTGGCGGGTCAGGATTCTTTGACTCGGTTTGTTTTTCAATGAAATTCACGAACTTTGCAATAAGCTCTTGGTTCGTTATTGAAAGTACATCTGGCTTCTTTTCTTCTGGTTCTATTGACTTTTCAGTTTGAATAGAAGGCTTAACATGGGCTTCGCCCTCGGTGCCATACACCTTAATTGTCGCTTTCTGCATTCGCTAATGGAACCTTTCTTTTTCTTACGTATATTTTACCATCTTTACTCTGACTTACGTAATAGAAAGGATGTTGTATTCCTCTTGCGTCATTTAATATAATAGACTCTCGCTCTGATTTTGACAAGCTCATTTTACATCGGTTAAAGTTTTAATTTTGTTTTTTATCTGCAGTCAAATGACTCAGACAAGCCCTACGGACAAGACCCAAGGGGTCATAGATGTTGAAGCATTGAAGAAAGAAATTCGTGAGCAAATTTTATCCGAACTGAAGGAACAAAAACAAGAACAAAAGCCAGAGAGACCAAAGAGAAAACTTAGTGAAAAACAACTTGCTGCATTAGCTGCTGGAAGACAAAAGAACCCACGTTTGCTGGCGAAGAAAGCTAGAGAAGAAGCTGAAGCAAAAGCTAAAGAAGCTGAAGCAAAGAAAGAGTAAATGGTTTATTTTTATCCGAATTAAATGTATAGACAAATACCTTTATCTGTTGCGTTCAGTAGTGAAAACCCTGACGTCAAAATAAAGGGGAACAGAGTAACGTTTAAGTTTCCAACAGACTGGATTGTGAACATAAATGAAGAGAAGTACATTGGCATAACATCTATGTATATAACACGTGCTTTCAGAAAGGTTGACTTTATACTTCAAGTCGAGATAGAAAATGACGAACAGTCTTTAAGCGCCCAAAACATTCACATATACAAATACTTTAAAGACGATACAACATTGTTGCAATGTATGATTTCATTTAATGAGATGTTCGAGAAAAAGTTCAACATTGAAGTACAAACTTTACAGCCTTTACGTGAGTTTCTTGCACAACTGAAAGAAGAAGGTAGTCAGCCACAACTTATAGACTTTCATTATGAATTTAATGAAAATGAAGATGGAACTCATGACTGTCAGTTTGTTATATATTCACCATTCAATGAAGTAGCTAAAAAGAAAGAAAATCCATTACGTATAAGATTTCAAATCTCTGAACCAAGTGATGATTTCAAGAATGTTTTCAATTATGATGCAATGCTTCCGAGGAAAAATGAATTTTCAAAGATTGTAACACCTGGCATTTGGGATAGAAAGCAAGCTATATTATATTCAAACTTAAGTAAGGGAGTTGAAAATGAGTTCATTGGTCATACAAGAACTTCACCACTTCCTAACCCTAAATACTATAAATTAACTGGCTTCAATCGTGAGTTTTGGATAGACATGTTCTCCACTCATGACCATAACTGCCCAGTGTTCTTACCTCCAGACCATAAGGACTGTCTCTACATTGAAGCACAACTCTTAAACTCTACCATCGCAGTATTGTAAAATCTACGCTAGTTTTATTTTTTTCTGAAAATTTTATTTGAGTGAAAGGCATGGAAGGTGAAGGACATTGGCAAACACTCGAACATGACAATGACTATGAAATCTTTTCAGAGTACCCTTATCCAATTAGACGTATAAGCAATAAAAGAGTTGTTAGTGAGTTTGACCAAGGAGATGGTTATATTTGTGTAAATTTAAACAAACACAAGCTGATGAAACATAGAATAGTTGCAGAAACTTTCATTCCGAACCCTGAAGGACTTCGTGAAGTAGACCATATAAACAGAGACAGAGGAGACTTTCATATCTCGAACTTAAGATGGACGACAAGAAGAGAAAACATGAGAAATATTTCTGGTTCAAATGGCTATTGGTTTGACATTGTTGACTCTCTTCCTGAAGACGCTGTTGAAATTATACAATACTCATATCACACGTTAGAGAACTACTACTATGTCCCAAGTGAAGATGCCTTTTACTATTTCATGGGAACTCAATACAGACGAATGAATGTCTTAAGACAGTATAACAAAGATTATATAAACATTACAGATGTAGAAGGAAGAAGAACAAAGCTGTCTATTGCAAAGTTTAAGAGAGACAATGGTTATACATAAATGACAAAAATATATGACCTCATGGGCTTCGCCCTTGCCGCTAGCGGCTTATTTTTATCACGAATGACCTCATTGCTGACAAAAATAAATGACCTCAGAACTTCAACTTACGAATAAAGCTTGTTTTAGTCGTTATTGAGAAGTTAAACTTCTCTTCAAAGCAAGGTTGACATGACTTACATAAGTCAAATCCAATCTCTTGACCGTCATAAAGTGCTTTGTAAAGTTTCATTAAACTGAACTCAGAGTCTTTGTCATATGTTCCAACAGGTATGTGAATGTTCTTATCTTCATTGTAATAGCATTGTATAGCTTCAGGAAACATTTCATTTGCTGTTAAAGCAAGGACGTCTTGTTTGACACCTTTGCAACGTGCATGGAATGCAACTTCATTTAAATCGTTAGTGAGTAAGTCTATGTAGGTCTTCTTTCCACAAAATATTGACTTGTATGCTAAACTTTGTTTTCCAGGTGTTATTTCTGCGAAGTCAGAATGAAATTGACCAAGGTTCTTTCCTATAAGTTCGCGACCGTATCTCTTCTTAAACTCTGCTGCAAGCTTTGGTATGTCTTCATTGAAAATATGCATGCTATCACAGTCCTGGTAAAATATTTGAAGTCCCATATCTTCTGCAGTACAGAATACTTCACACATTATTCTCTTCGACATAGACAGAATGTTAACACCAAGTGGACAGAAGTTAAAGTGTCTGCAAATGCTTTTCGTTAGCTTGAAAATAGTTTTATCTGAACCATCCAAACCTTCGAACTTCACTATATGGTTGTAGTTTCTGATGGCATATCTTATAGCATCTTTGTCATTTACTATGGTTATTTTTGACTCAATAGGAGATAGAATAGTTTTGCCATAAATACTGTTCAGAATGAGCTTTATATTTTCTTGCAAAGGATTTCCTTCTTTCTTATACTTTAACCTTAACTCAAACAACTTCTTTACTTCATCTCTTATTCTAATATCTCTGTTTCCATCGTAATAGTATCCTTGCAACACTTCACATTTGACACCTTGATATTTTATGAGGTCTTGTAATGTTATATGGTCAACATACATTAAACAGCAAGTGTTTGAACTTCTGGGAACGTTAAGTTCTGGATTTAGTTCAGGGTCACAAACTATTAAAGGAAAGTGTCTATGTATTCCAATCTCTGTTATCTTAATGAGAACAAAGAAGCCAGACATAAACTTTTCACCAATGGGTTCCTTTTGGTCGTCATCGAATAAATGTCTCATGAGATACTCTGTGCTTAACATTTCTTTCTTCATAACCTTTGGAATACCTTCTAAAGTATAAAGTCTTGCTATAGCTGATGGATATAATGAAACAGCGTCGAAATCAGCAATGAGTTTCTTTTCGCTCTTTTGTTTCATGTTATCTGACAGCATACATCTTCCACCTTGAATACAGCGTGAAATAAATTCTCTTGGTTTATTTGAGAGGTCATATAAATTTCCATTCGGGAAGTACACTCTGTTCTCAAACAATTTGTTAGCAATTGAACAAATACTAACGTAGTCATAAACGTTTAAATCAAATTCTTTTAATATGTCATTGCGGAACTTAACAAAACCTTCTCTTAAAATTCTTACATCTTGTTTGCAATAAAATGTGCTATACTTTTCTAAGTCGAAGTGGTTTTCATCTATTCTGCAACCTTTGATGGAATCTATGTTTTTCATGAACGTATCAATATCTTTTACAAACTTACACGCTTCAGAAATGACACCAGTTCTGTTGTCATTTGCTAATAAAGAGCTTGAATATATTGATACGGAAATACTTCCTTTTCACCACACTGCAAATGAAACATCAGGAAATAGTTTAAGCTTCTTATTTATAACAGTGTATGAATCTTTAATAATGATTGCTTCCTTTATATACCGTTATTGCATTGTTCGTGAACCTTTAATGATGGGAGTTCCTTTCACTTCTGTCATGTGTCTTAAGATGAAGTTTATATCATAACTGAGGTTATGGAAATATATTAAACTCTTGTCAGGAAGTCGTTCCAAAAATTCTGTTGCACAGTTCTGACCCCAAATGCTTTCACTCACTGAACCATCTTCACTGTCATAACAATGTTAAAAGCTTTATGAAACTCCATCAGTGCTACATTCAAAGTCAGCAAAGAAAACGTGCTCAGGAATGAACTTACATTTAGCTTTATTTACTTCTTTTGACTCGGCTTTCTTCTTCAGTTGTACACAATACTTTGGAGCATATGTCAAATCTTTAAATGGTGCAAGGTTCTGTTTATATAAGTCAGTCGTATATGTGAAAAGTTCTCCATAAGAAATAGGTTCGAAATATTTGCACTCCCACAATGTTTTCATAACATCCCATAACGGTGTTGTTCTATCATAACGAACTACATATTTGTTCTCTCTCTTTGTATAAATCTTCATCTGTTTCTCAATGTTCATTCCACCACACTCCTTCAAGATTTCTATATAGTTGCGAATGAAATATGTTGTCATTGGTAATCTTTCATTTAGCATGTAGTGGTCTTCAACAAGAAGTAAGTCAATAGTTCGAACAGTTTCACATTCTTTTGGTATGTATCTCTTTATTTCATTATGTCTTGAGTCATTGAAGTAACCAATGGTAACATTAAATGCTATACCTGTTGCGTCAGAAATTTCTTGTACTTTACTTTGAGGAAAGTCTCTAACACGAATGACTTCTCTCATGTGGTCAATAGTTTCTTCATTTACTCCAGCCTGAATGCAAGCATAAACGAAACAATTGTCTTCTGTCATAAGTGCTGCAGTTCTTTTGTTCAGTTCATTGAAGATTTGGTAGCGTTCAAGATTTATAGGTAATGTGCAAAGATACTTCCAGAACTGACCGCTTCTCTTCTTATAAAACTTCTTTTCACCATTATCTTTCCAAAAGCTTTCTATAAGTGCTGGGTTTCCTGTTTGCTTAAGAGCTTCCAAAATGGCTTTCTGGTCATTTGTCAGTGTGCTTTCATCTCTATATGGTCTCTTTTTTGGTTTGCCTTTCTTTACATCTGACATCGTTAAGCCTTCATATTCTGTTAAATCATACATCTTTATTTCAGTAAGATTCTTTATGTTTGTCAAGAAGAAGTCATAGTGCATTTCAACAATACCTGCAGCATTTGCTTCTATCTCTGATATAAAGTTCTCCTTCAAGAGCTGATGTAGTAATGTTCCAATATTATTGAGGTTTAACGTAGAACATTCATACTTTCCACCAAGTTTATAACATACCATCCATCTTTGTTGGGAGTTTATTTTAATCTTCTCTAAGAGTCTCATGAAAACCTTACCGAAATGTTTGTGTAAGTAGTCTCTGTTTGGTTCATCTAAAGCTTCGATGTTAAAGTCAATGAGTCTATTGCCTGTCTTAACATTCCTCTTCCTATTCTCTTCATCTTTCTTTAACCATCTCTCACCTTCTTTTGGTTTGTCGTCAATGGAACGAAGGACATCGTTAGCTTTGCGAACTTGTTCTATAGCGCTCTTAAACATCTCTCTTCTCTGTTGTTTCAGTGTGTCGTCTCTTCTTCTTGTTTCACCAACGTTTGCATTTGTTATGTCAAACATCTCTTGACGAACACCATGCGAAAGAGCTTTACGAGTATGACCAACGTTTGCATTTGTTATGTCAAACATTTCTCTTCTTACTTCATGAGGTACTGAACGTCTATGATATAAGTCAATAGCAACGTCATTTAAAGGAAATGCTCTTGCATGGACTTCGTCCTCGCCGCGTTGCGGCTTTATGAACTCATGAATTCTATCATAACTTATTGCACCATTATAGTCATTGAGGATGTCAGCGAGTGTTTTTTTGTTTGTTGCGTAATGCTTTGCAACATCTATATTAGCTTCTGTAAGAAGTTGTTTTATTTCCGAGTGTTCTAACTTAGACAACTTCCGATACATCTTTAGTAGGAAATAAAAAAATATTTTTTGAAAAAATTAGATTAGATTTTTTTAAGTTATTTTTCAAAATAATTTAATATTTTTATTTTAATGAAACACATGCAAGATTGCAAGTTCTTTTCATACAATGCTCTCGCTACTGCCATCAATAATGAGTTCAATAATGCTTCAAATGTTAATGTTATCTTTAACAAGAAGTTTGTGAAAGAATCTAAGTTTGGTCAGTATGTCAGACCATTAGCTATCGTCATTGACCGCAAACGTTATACTTCACAAGAGTTAGCAGTAGTTTTGAAACAAAAGAGTTTCTTCGTGAATGTCAAAGATACTCATTATACTGTCATAAAGAACTCTAACGTTGACTTCTTCAGTATTGCTTTAAATCTTTCCGAACAGAAAGAATATAAGAAGGGTGAAACATCTGTGAAATATTATCCTTCATCTCTGAAGACAATAACGAACAAAGATGTTATACAGAAATTCTTACCAAAGGTTGAAGAAGCTTCTATTGACATTGACGAAGGAAGTGAAATGGTTGAAGAAATAGACCCTGAAGCTTTATAAGAAAATTTATTTTTGAATAACTGATGGTGTCACTACGTCACCATGTCACCAGGTTAATTAACTTCTTTTAAAAATGATGACAACATGACATTTTGACAACAGGTACGAAAGGAGGAAGGCATTTATGAATTATTTTTGAAGAACTGAAAGTGTCACTACGTCACCATGCCACCAGGTTAATTAACTTCTTTTAAAAATGATGACAACATGACATTTTGACATCACAGGCGGGTTGAATGCAAAAATATTTTTAGTTCATAAAAATTTTTTGATTAATTTTGGCAAACTTCTCAGTGAAGAAAGATCCATTGATATTTGCGAAGGATTCTATTGAGAAGTTCTGAGGAAGCTGAGATGCGTTTTCATTTCCGCCTTCTGTATAGGAACAGATGGAGAGAAGAATGTCAAGAGCATTTTGTGCTTCGGGATAGAATGTGCAAAATTCCCCGATGGCTGAAGTAAGAACTTCAGTTGATCTTAAGTTTGAGTCTATAAGATCGTTGAGCATTTGCTTAGAGGCAATGCGAGCAGAATAATTAACTTTCATAGGATTGGTAAATACCAAATAATTTTCATTTTTCAGTTGCGATGGAATATATCTAACCCTCCCGTTAACTAATAAACTTGACGATCAGACGATTCTCCCTTCGTCGATTATGATCGACATGGAGCGTTTATGGAAACAATTAAATGGTAAAAACAAAATAAACTTTACGATCAGACGATTCTCCCTTCGTCGATTATGATCGACATGGAGCGTTTATGGAAACAATTAAATGGTAAAAACAAAATAAACTTTACGATCAGACGATTCTCCCTTCGTCGATTATGATCGACATGGAGCGTTTATGGAAACAATTAAATGGTAAAAACAAAATAATGACGAAGGGTTTTGTTTTTTATCGTGGTTTTCTCCACTATGGTCCTAACGTGGCACCCGACGAGATTTTTTTTCATTCTTCCTCTTTGAAGTTGTCGAAATATTCTGTTATTTTTTCCTTCAGTAATGTTAAGTCTTCTTTGAATGTAAGTATTGTACAACCTTTGATGTCATAGTGTGTTTGAGGAAGAGTATTTTTGACAATTTCCTTTATTTGTTCATTCGGAGTCATTGAAATCGGTAAGTTTTCACGATAGAACCAGTTTCTGTCAGATTTATATATCTTAGCTAAGTCATAAAAGCTCTTGTTGTTTCTTCTGACTAAATGTAACATAACCATATCTTTATCTTCTTCTTTCTCCAACTCTTCAGTATATATCATATACTTATAACTCTTTTCCTTTCCTTTTGGTACTGAACGCGGTATTCTTTTCTGTATGCTTTTGTCTTTGGATTCAATGACTTCATCTTTTGCTTGAAGTTTCTTTTCCAACTCTCCACGTTCTGCTTTATATAGTTCATCTAACATCATGAAAATATAACAAGCATAACGAGGTGAAGCCCACATTGCTACAGCGTTTACTAAAAGTCTATGAACATAATAACCTTTCAAACCAGGAGCCAAATTCTTGCGATTTTCATACGGAATCTCTTCCCTCGGTTTTCCGAGGGAAGCAATCATATGAGGAAATTCTTCTAAAAGTTCTTTTGTCTGTTGGTTTTCAAACCAATGATATGCTTGCTTTGTAGAACGAAGAGCATTCATTATACTTTGCATTTGGTACATATCGTCTTTGACTGAACGAATGAGGCGAAGTTGTTTGTTATATTGTATGTATTCATATTCTTCATTTATGGCTTCATGAACGATAGCAGTTGTTGTGTTCTCTGATGTTGACATTACTGTCTTTACATACAAAATAAAAAAATAAATAAAAATAAAACTAACTTTATTTCTTCTTTATTTCTTTATTCCCGTGGAAGAAGGGTTTTGCCGTTTTTTTTGAGCCGAAATCAATGATTTTTTCATTTTTGGAATCCTTAGCGAATGAGGAATCTTTTCTCTCGTGGAAGCTTTGAACAAAAATAATGTTTAGGTGAAGAGGTGAGATTTCACCTCTTTTTTCACCTCTTTTTTCACCTGTTTTTTCACAAGCGTTTTACATGAATTGTACGATGTATATTTGAAATCCTAAACAATTTCGTAGCTTCTATTTCTTCTTTTAGTACATTGAATGTTTTAATCATGCCGAAAGTCTCTTTATATTTCTTCTTGACGTCAGACAGAAGGAAATCTTCTGCTGTTGGATAGTTTTTATTAAGAAATGTCAACATATCCATTTTATCTTCTGCTGGCTTTTCTGCTTCTTTCTTTAAGTCTGCATAGTCGTTTCGCATTCATTCTATCTCTTTGACTGAGTAGTTATATTTTCTTATTGCTGCTTTACATTTTGAACATTGCGGCATCGTTTTTGCGTTATACATTGAAACATTACCAGCTAAAACAACTAAAGCGTCAATTGCTCTCTTCATCTCAAACATAGCGGGTCTTATTTGTTCGTTCCATACTTTGCCTCTTCTATCTTTATCTCTTATTTCCCAAACACATTTTGCAACTAATGAAACAAAGTTATCGTATGTCTTAAATTCTTCGGATTTGTAAAGGTCAGAAATATTTTTATAAACCATGTCGCAATCTTTGTCCATAACTTTATGGTTGCAATGAAAACCAAGGAATTCATAATTTACTTTACGTATGAATTTCTTAATTTCTACTGAGTCAGTTGCTTTGACTTCAATTTCGTCGAATTCGGGAATAGTTAGTTTTTGCTGCTGAATTTCAGGTAGTTTAGGCAAATGGTCGATGAGGTCCTCCATTTCATAAAGATACTGTTCCTTTGTTTCATCTTTCGCACTACAGTCTAAATTACTTGTTAAAAGTTCTTGCTTTATCTTCTGGATTTCTGTTTCAAAAGTATATGAAGAAGGAATAAAGCTTTTCATCTCTACCAACATTGACGTAGGATTCATGACTAACGAGTTTGGTGCTGTAGTTGTGGACAGAGTCCCGCCGTTCGCAGCTTGAATTGTTGTTGTGCCGATTGTTGAAATCATATCTTTTATACAAAATAAAAAAATAAATAAAAATAAAACTAACTTTATTTTTTCTATCATAAGGAAATTCATGAAAATTCACGAGGGTGAAAAAACAGGTGAAATCTCACCTCTTCACCTAAACATTATTTTTGTCTGATTTACATCTAATGAAAAAGTTTAGAAGAATTTTCTTATTCTTTCTGGCATATTTTTGTCTTTCCAGTACTCCCGCTCTAATGGTCCCAGATGTGTTGGCTTCGACTCTCTCAAGTTCTTAGATGGTATAACATCTTCAACGCCTCCTTCATATCTTACTTTATAAGTGCCATCGTTTATGTTATAGCCAAGTATTTCAATAACCACTCCTCGCTTTGCTTCGTCAATGGTTTCAGCAAGTTTGCCATTACTACTTTCGACTAACTTATGTCGAGGATAAAACGCAATAGAGTCGTCAGCAGCTTTTATAAGATATCCATTACCTTGCGTAGAGTCTACGATATAATAGTTTCTACTTAACCTTAAACGTTTCTTTGTCAACGGTTTGTCGTCAAGAAATACACGAACTTTTGTACCAGGAATGAGGGTAAATTGTGTTGAATTTCTGATATTTTGTGTTTGACTTCGTTTCTTTTGTATATACCTTTCTTCTTGTTGTTGTGTCATTGAATTTGGTGTATGTCCTGTTGTAGAGTGTGTTGAGGAATTATATACTTCGAGAAAATGTTTCATTGTTTCTTCGGTAAAGTCTCGCTCTTGGTTTAAATCTCTGAGCGTTCTTATGAAGCGGTTTATGATGCCGAGTATGTTATGGTTATGGTCTTCAGTAGTGTAGTGAGTTATGTTATGCTTAATGAGAAAATCTGTGATTTCATTGCTGAGGTATGCACTGTCTTGGTCTGATGTTAAAGTACTTGGGCTATGTTCTGCTACAAACTTTTGTAAAACTCTTAACACTTCACGAGTTCCTTTATTCCTCATTGGATATGCATATGCTTTGCGAGTGTTAACATTAATGAAGATGAGGAATGGTGGCTTTCTTCCTTTTCTGCTTTGAATGAGAGTGTCAAATTGGTATGCGTCAGGAGTGTTGGAGTAAATTGGTAAAAAGTAGTCGTAAGGGTTTATTTTTGTTTGATGTACAACATTTTTGTCAAAGAACCTTTTCACTTCAGCTCTGTTAGTAAATCCCCAACTCTTTGCAGCTTCATTGAACTTCTTAAATGACCTCCATGGATGTTGTTCGAATACTTCTTTCAAGCTCATTTATGTAAAGTTAAAGATTTTATTCAAGGCTCAAGCGCGTTCATTGAACGCGGTACCATGCGAATACAGTCATAAATGGTGGCATATAATCTGCACCCGAGCCTGTTGGATTTGTTGTGAAAGTATGGACATGATTTCCTCCTGGTTCAGTTGGTCGAAAAGTTTTTTTTGCTGAATTGTTATAAGATGGAGATAAAACGTCATTGCCAGCTTTATAGTCTGAGTTGTATAATGGGTGGTCTCTTAATGAGTGGCTATGGTCGCCAGAAAAGTTTGTCGTTCCTGTATGAGTGTGCGCAGGTAAGTTTGCTTCTTTAATTTTCTTTGAGCCACCTGTTTGATTTGAAGAGTTAGCACAGTATAAGAATTTATCTACAATCTGCTGCCACGTACCAAAACCTAAAACACTTGCCGGATTTGTTGAATTCATTGACGTATAAATAGAGCCTATAGGATATATGGTTTCAAGAATCTGAGTCTTCATTGTTTGAAGTTCATGTTTAACATTTATAAATCCATCGCCATCTACAATATTTATATTGTTTGTTATTAAACCATTAGGAAAAGTAGGAGGATAAATATTTTGTTCAACTAAAGGTGTACCGCCTCTTCCTGTTTTTGTTACTTCTTCAATGTATGCATTAATTTCTTTAATCCTGATTGTTTGAAATTCTTCATGCACGTGCTTTTTATCAGCTTTTCCATTAACCGCAGCATTTACTTCCGACTTCTTTGCATAATTTTCATCTACATAAGTTTTGTCGGCTTTCTTATCATATAAATCTTGAGCAGTGAATTTAACATTATTTTCATCATCCATGACATAAACATTTTTACAGCTAATGTCTTTCTTCGTTGTTATGTTTTCATTCGATGTTAAACCTTGTGGAAAGTTAGGAGGTTTATAATATAATGCATCCCCACCAGTTCCTTCAATACTTTCTATAGCAACAGTTGAGAAGGAGTTATGTGTATGTTCTTTATCTGCTTTCTTATCTAACATTGCTGGTAGTTCATGTGTTTCAAAGTTTCTGACATGACCTTCGATATTCATACATTTGTTATTTAAGGAGTTTAGTGTATCTTTTACGCTTGTACTTGGATTCTCTAAAGGTGCACTTGAACCAAGGGTATAGTTCAATATTATGTCGTCTGCTCTAACAGTAGTGAAGGATTCATGTGTATGGTTCTTGTCAGCTTTACTATTTAATGTAGCTTGAAGTTCATTTATATCGGAGATATTGTGTTTATGAGATTTCAAAACTTTGTTCGTTGCGTCAAGTTCATCTTTGTCAGCTTTACTTTTAATAGCATCTTCAAAAGTTATTTTTGCCTTAACTCTCAAAGTAAATCTTGGTTCAACTAATACACCGTTAACAAAGAAGTATGAAGCATAAATTTCATTGTTATAACCAAATGCTTCTGGTGCTTTACCTGTGTCATACTGTACAGTACAGTGTATGTCATAACCTTTAGCACGAATGAATTTATATCTTCTTTCATTAACATCTTCAGTGCTTATTTGTTCATCCTGTGTTAAATATCCATGGTAGTCCGTTATAATCTGTTCGTCTGAACTTATATAATGAACATGGTTTTTATCTGCTTTTTCGGCTAATTTCTCTTCTACCTCATTTATTTCAAGTTCATGCCTACCACCACCTCCCGAAGAAGTATTTTTCTTCAGCTCTTGAAGAACGTCCACTTCGCCATCTTTGGTGTCAATAATGAGACTTTGAGTTAGAACCTTTCCTGTCTTAATGGATGTTTGTAAAACTTCTTCTTCACCGTGTTCGGGGTCATGGTCGTCATCATATCTTGTGAAATCAGAGATGTTGTCATACATTAAGCATATCTGTCTCAAAAGTTCTGCTATTTGAAACTGGAACGAAAGATATACAGAACTTTCATCATCTCCTAAAGTCAAGTCTGCTTTCTTAAGTATTTCTTGAATGTATGCAATGAGAACAGAGTATCTTGGAAAATATTCGAACAATATTTCATTTGCCGTTGGTTTTGGTGGTACTTCTGGAGTTTCTGTTGTTTCAGTTCCTTCTGTAGGTTCTGTTGGAGTTTCTGCATCTCTTGACTTCAATGCTCTTGCTCTCAAAGACCTAAATGTTAGAGCACCAGGTTTTACAAAGGACTTTATAAATGCTTTAATAGTTCCTGGTAAGTTATTGTTAGCATTAAGTAAGTTCCTTATGCTTCCATCATGTACGTCCATAGCACTATGTAAAAAATCTATACTTTTCTTGTAGTCAGCAATAGACTGACTGTGATTTTTTAAAGATTTGTCAATACCTTTAAGCCAATCTTCATGCATGTCTGATACTGAGCCAAGAATATCATTTGCTTCCTTTAGTGTATTTTGTGCTTCTCGTAAAGTATCCAATCCCGTACGTGCATTGTTTGCTATACGTCTTACAGTATCTATTTGACTCCTTGTTTCTTGCATCCAACCAGATAAAGTTTTAATAGTATCCGAACCATTTGAAATGAAGTTCAAAGCATTTTTAACGTCATCTAAAGCTTCTTCACCAAGTACTGCCCATATCTTTCCGATTTGGTATTGAAGAACTCCATATGAAGCAGCTGTTAAACCAGTATTTATAAGGTTCCATATCCATGATTTAGCAGTTTTTCCATCCTTTCCATCTTCATCATCCAAACCGTTTTCGCCTTGAGGTCCTTGTATTCCTTGTATTCCTTGTATTCCTTGTATTCCTTGTGGTCCTTGAGGTCCGGTGTCACCCTTCTCCTTTCAGTTCATCTTTATGTTCGTTATAATATTCTAATGTCATAAGGTGTACATCATTACTGCTACCAACAACGCCGAGAATTTGTTTCTCATTCATGACTAAATTCTTTAGGCATTTAATGTTGTCGTCAAATCGAAAGCTCTTTAACAATTCAATGAGAACATTTAATACTTTCACTAATGAGGCATCTACTGTAGAATTTATATATTGCACCGTTCCATCATTTATGATGGAACCTTGCTTGTTGTAATGAATGGGTCATAAGTGTTAAAAGTATCGAAATCAATGACTTTTTTAGTTTTTCCATCGTCAATGACTAAATCATTGCCTTCCACTGTTAAAGTTGAGTTTTCGTTTACTAGTTCATGTGCTCTTCTTGCTTCATTTGTTTCATACGCATATGCAGCAATAGTCATATTTTAATGAGAATAAAATGTTGTTCTATTTGCAAAGTACAGACCCAAACGAATACGGGACAGTAAAGCTACAAACAAACTTAGGTCTTCAGAATGAAGCGCTTGCTTTCAGAGTTGTTGACTTCAATACTATCGCAACTTTTGTCATAACAGATGAAACAGATTTCATAGAGATTGAAATAGATGACAAAAGAAGTGTTATAACATTTCCTAACAGAGCTGGGTATAGAATAGATAAAATTGCTGGAGTCATAGATACTCTCATAAATGAAGAAACTATTGACAACATAGATGTCGAACTCTCTTCTGAGGGAACATTGAAGTTCAGCAGCGAGAAAGAGTTTAAGATAACACGAATGAGTCATAGAGTTCAATTGCTTCTGGGAGCATACCATATGACATTTCCTTTGAAAAGTGTTGACAAAACGATTGAGATGAAATCTGTTCCATACGTATGTTATGGTAATTGTTTGTACATTGAGTCAAAAATAGCTAATGTCACAGGTATTTCAGGAGTTAATAGTAAAGGTTCAGTAGAATATAAATCCTTCTGTTATGCAGTCAATTCAATGTTCATTCCAAATGTTCCTGTCATAGCAACTCATTTAGGTAAATGGGTTCGCATTAGTCCTCATAATTTGAAAGACATGCAATTCAGACTTGTTGATTTTCAAGGAGAGCCTGTAGAACTGAAGGCACCAGTGCGAATGACTGTTGAAGTTGACTTTTTAGAAAATATTAAATGCAACAGCTTACAAGAGAACTCAGAGCTAAAAATATAAAGTATGAATGTTATGTATTAGGTCATGAACTTTGGTTGTTGCTGTTTGATGAAACAAATGAGTTAGTTATGTCAGTCAAGAGAACAGAAAAATATTGTGTTAGTGAAAACTGCACCAAATCAATAAGATTAGGTTTGCATTATGAAGATGAGTTCGATACTGTTGAAGAAGTTTTGGACAGATATTACAAATTGCTAACTTGAAATTTTTTTTTGACTGACTGACTGCTTTAATTTACTAAAACATATTTCAAACAAAGCTTATAGTCAGTTGAAAGTTTTGTGTATTCATTCGAATATTTATACTTAAACTCAACTCCTGTAGTTCCTGGTGTTTCGATTATTCTAATATTACCGATTTTCATGAATATTGGCGTTTGACCACAGCATTCGATTTCAGGGTCGAGATAGTCAATGACACATTGTTTCCCTGTTATTCGTGATATAACATTTTCTAAATCCTCCTTTGTTAAAATTATTTGGTTCTTGCTTATAAGATTTGTCAAAAGCTTCTTATCGTCTTTGAGTAAAATTGTTTGGTATAACTGAAGAAGGTAATGGTCTACGTTATCTGAAGGATTTGTTTGAACATTTGTGTAAGGATTGTCGTTGGCTTCTCTTGAAAGAATTTGGTCCAGTGGTGGATACTCTAACTTAACATCTGATGTAGCGTTAGCGTTTGCACTTGAAGCTGAGTTTAAATTCACCGACTTAAGTTCTGGTTCTTTTTCTTTCAAACACTCTGAACTATAGTTCTTTATGACAATATTGTTTGTCGTTCGTGAGTCAACATTTGATGTTGGTTCAATTGGAACATTAACGGCACCAGCTAAGATGGATTTGCTTCTCATTTCATATAGAATAAAAACATTTTATATGTATGAAATGAACAATATACTCGACAAGGGTTTGAATGTAAAGCTAACGAATGAAAATATTGTTGAATTCACTGAGACAGGTGCTGTGTATAAAGATGTAGAACTACTGAACAAAAGAGCTAAGGGAAGAAGCAGGAACATGAACAAAGGGTGGAAGCCTATAAAAATTTATGTCAATGATGGCTCAGGAGGTTCAAACATAAAGTATGCAGAAAGTTATAGAGTTTATGCTCTCCAAGGTGAAAAGCCTTCATTTAAGAACAGCTATTCTAACGCATATCCTCAAAAGCTAACGGATGGGGAAGTGGATGATATGAATGACAGCAAAAATATTAACAGAAATGGCGACAGAGATGCATGGAATTTGTTTACCATCAGTCAATTGAAGGTTAAACTTTAAAATATAGATCCAAGGTGATGTGATTTTTGCATCCCTGGGATGGACGATACACCCAAAGTGTCACCTTTTTGGGATAACATGAATTTGAAATATCATGAGAGTTCTGCAAACCATATGCACAATATCTATTCAGCCTGACTTCTTGTATATATGAGTTAGACTTCTTAAATATTGTGCTTGGGGCGATATAAGCATTTCCGAGATTACCATCGTGCTCTATAGTATGCTACTTCTCCCTGGTTCTAGCTCAGTTCCAAGGATATTGGCGTTCAAGGATTTGGCAAGGTCCTTCCGAAGTCTCTCATTCGATGAGAGATTTCGGAAGAATCTTGCCTTAAAGTACTCCAACTCTTGTTCTTTTGTTCCTAAATAGTGAGAAAAGTTATTTGACTACTTAAGGTAGAGATTATCCGAGGTCCCTCATTTGATGAGAGGCCTCGGATAATCTCTGCCTTAAAATTGTACACTTGTAGTCCATGAGAGTGTAAGTATACATTGATAGGACAGCTTTCTTCTGAAGTCTTAGATTTGATGAGAACCTCAGAAGAAAACTGTCCTATTTTATAGTAAAAGGAGTTTCAGGAGCTCCAAAGCTCCCTTTCGTAAGGATTAGGAGCTTTGGAGCTCCTGGTTCGTAGATGTGTTTCGCATCTTTCATCAGCAAAGGACATTTACCATCTGGGACTCTGTTGATGGAGACTCAGGAGCTCCAAAGCTCCCTTTAGTAAGGATTAGAAGCTTTGAAGCTCCTGGTTCGTAGACGTGTTTCGCATCTTTCATCAGAAGAGGCCCAAATGGTAAATAGCCTCTGCTGATGAGCTTCAGGAGCTCCAAGGCTCCCTCTCGTAACGATTAGGAGCTTTGTAGCTCCTGAAGGTAAGGTAGGATTGCTCTGATCTCTAATCAGTAGATGCCATGCCTCATTATGAACTCTACTGACAAGAGATCAAGAGCTCCAAGGACTCCCTTTTTAGTTAGTGACGTTCTCACCATTTAGTAGGATTGCTGATCCTACTAATGAAGTGATCACTTAGTATACGTTTTGAATAAATTGAATTTTTTTTAGAATTTAGTATTTTTTATAGACATCACATGTATATTATAAATACATAAATATATTCTTTAATTCAAAAAATTCAATTCGGTTTTGGGATGGGTATCCCAGCCCCAAGTATTCAATTTTATTCAATTTTTTAAGAATTTTGGGTTGGGATGCCCAGACCAAAACAAGCTTTATATTTTGATGTGTAGATACGTATGTGTGCATCATTGTTGTGTTATATATTATGTTTTTAATGAAAAAAAATCTGATTCAAAAAAAATTATCACTAATTAGTTGATAATATAAAGAAAAAATAGATAAATTGTATGTTTTGAGAGTATTTATCCACATTCACTCATATGAATTTCATTAAATAGTGTCTTTTTAGTCCCAAATTTATTTTGAATTATTGAAATCAAAGAAAAAAAATCAGAAAAATTTCTCGAAATTTTTATTTTCAAAAAAAATTGGATTTTATATTGAAAACTGACACTGGGAGGACGATAGGGCTGGGATTGGAGATACCCCGCTCACTTGGGAAAAATACGGATCTATACTTTAAAATAATGTTGGTCGTTCCCATGGAATATTTTTGACTTTAATGGTATTAGTCATGATATGAATCTCAAGGTATGAACGAGGAGAGATGAGAGACTTATATGCTTCCCAAATTTCTTCAAAAGGTAATGTTATACCTGACTGTTTCCAAATGAGTTCAATATCATAGCGTGAGAAACCTTGAAAGATAACGAAGTCAGTTATGAGACGTTTTATGTTTAAAGCTAAAAACCTCCATGTTTGCATAAGTATTGCTACAGTTAAGTGGTAATGTCTGACTTTAGTAATGATGTTAGCTAATGGTGAGTCTGGTTTTGACACTAAACCTTTACCAGCGAAATCATCACAAACTAATAAAGTGTTTGAAGGATACTTTTTGAAGGGGTATTTTGAAAGTTTTGATAGAATGTAGTTTGTCAGTCGTTTCATATCGTAAACTCCTGAGTACTGACGTAAGTGGTGTTTGTCAATAATTCTTTCCATCTCCTCAGAAGTCTTTTGCATTCCTGACTGTATAAATTCAACGATGGCATAATATTTCCTCTTACGTCGAATGTAACGTTGAAGAAATTCAATGAGTTCACTGTCTGGAACTTTAACGACAGAGGCTTGAACTTTTGACATAAATGTTTTCGCTGTTGAATCCATAGAGTCTGAAGTTGCTGATATAATGATTTGGTCATAGTAAGAGTCGTTTCCTAAACGCTCTGTTATGAGTATATGACGAATGAGGTTAAATGTCTTACCTGAACCCATCTTTCCACAATAGAAATAAACACCATTTGAACAGAACTCATAGTCCTTACTGAAAGGAAGAATGAGAGAACTGTTGAGCTTTTCACTGCTTTCATTCATGTCTTCATCTACGTCATGTATTAAATGCTTCATTTTATCTCCATTAAAAATGCAAGTCAGAAATATTCAGAACATAGCACCGAGTCTAACTGACAAGAGTATAAAGATATACTATGAACATGTTATGATGAAACCAACCAAAATTCAAGAAAGTCAGTATACTTATGAATATCCAAGACACTGGGTAGAGTATGTAGGAGGTGAGAAAGCTATTGAAATCAGACAGGTTCGAAGTATTCCAGCAGGAAGAACAATATTATTGAAGAACTTTAATGTTTTGAGATATAATGATGAAACAAAGAAGCAAGATAGTTTCCCTGTTGCTGTGTATGTGAACCTAGACACAGGAGATGACATGAAAGTTTTTAATACAAAGCTTCAAACGGTAGTGAGAGAACAACTGACTGCGGAAGGACATCCATTACCTTCAGAAGTTACCATAGCATATAATTTTGAAACAAACTCAATAGATTTTAAAGTCGTCTCTGCAAAGAAGTCAGGATTTACATTTAATGAAGCAGATGTCTATTCGAATGAAAACTTCAAAGCTATTGCATGGTTAGATAATGACGATTGCTTTAAGAAAATATTTAAATACAGTGACTCAACGATGTCAATAGATGACCTTCGTGGAATGTTACCATCGACGTTTACAGTAGAAGGTTCAGCAGGATTGCTTACAAGATTGTCAATTGGTGGTATTTGGTCTCGTGAGAACATTGTTATAAAATCCAGTATAAGTGAATTTGCTGAAGAATCTATATTATGTCTTTCAAACTACATGTATTCGCCGCCGAAGCATTATAGTATAACAAACTTTGTCAGTAAGTTTAATATAAGACTTGTTGAACCTTCTTCAATGAAAGATGTTGTGCTACCTAAAGATGGAAAGGATGGACTCATTATTGAGATAATTTTAATAGCATATTAAATGAGCTTGTTCTTGAAGGTCATTCATGATGAAATAACTGTTGTAGAAGATGTTAGCAATTGTTCAGACATTTTGAAGCGAATAGATGAGATAAGAAAGAAGTTAGATAGACCGCAAAGCGGTGAGGGCGAAGCCCGTGAGAACGCTTATGTTTCATTGACTTTCTCCAGTAACGAGAACTTTTATGAGATAATATTGAAGAGAGATGATTTTAATATGGTGTAAATGGTAGCTTGGGCAGCTTTAGGCGCAATGGGAACAAAAGCATTAGCATTTGGAGCAAAAGCACTTGGAGCTTATGACGCAGTAAATAAAATGAGTGGAGGAAGGGTTTCGA